AGGTAAGAATTGCATTCTTTTCTTTTTGCAATAGATAGTAATAATAATAAGTGATAATATATAAGGTCGTGGAGTAATAATAATAACATTAACGTCATTAATATGTAATTTATTTCCTTGACAAATTTACATTGTATGGAATTTGTTCGTTTGATTCAGAAAATTATTAGCAAAAGTAAAGTAAAAGTAGTAAAATTCTGGTTGGTAATTCTGAGAACAATAACTTAATCGCTTTTGCGAAAATGAAATTTACCTTCATTATTAAAGTAATGACAAAATTTTTCTCTTATTGTTTTCGCATCACTTGTTGAATTTCGAATGCTAGCTGGCTCCAAATCACGTAATGCAGTATTATCTGCGTTTGTGATTCTCCAGTTTGATGCTAAATAAAGCCTTGGCTGTGTTTTCATCAAGTAATTGTGTAAATAACAGCTCGCTGCTACTATAGTTGCAGCCTTTTTGGGCTCGAAACATATTGCTTTGTGGAAAATTCCAAATTTTGATCTGAGTATCCCAAAGGCACCTTCTACAACTGATCTAGCACGTGATAATCGATAATTGAATGTTTTTCGCTCATTATTGCACGCATTCTGTGGGTAGGGCTTCATTAAATGTTTTCCGAGCGCAAAAGCTTCATCTGATATGAAAACGTAAGGAAATGGTTCTTCTATATTTGGCAGAGGCGCTGGATCTGGTATATTTAAGTCACTTCTTTGATACAGCTCCCAGAATTTAGTATAGAATAGTACCCCACCATCGGATATTCGGCCATTAGCACCAACATCTATCATGATAAATTGTTTCTTGGAGTTAACTAACGCCATGAGAACTATGCTGAAATGACCTTTGTAGTTGCGGTATAATGCTCCAGAATGTGCCGGTTTTTGAACTGCAACGTGCTTGCCGTCCAAAGCCCCTAAGCAGTTCCAAAACTGATATGTTTCCCCAAAATCAGAAGCAATCTCTTTCCAATCTTCCTCTGTCATTGGCATCTGCAAAATTAAATGTATACTGTTTTTTTAAGATTCTCGATACTGATGGAGATGATAATGCAGATGGACCTAGTCCAGACCTAACACAACCACAAGAACAGGAGAGAATGGAATCGCAAAGAAGCGTTTCATCCATTTCCTCTGCAAACACAGTGATGCCGCCACCGCCTGCGAAGAAAGCGAAGAAAACCATGCTTGCAAAGCAAAATGAGTTATTAGATCGGGCATGTGCATATTTATCTGAACCCAACAGTAGCAGTAGTGGTGCTAACTCACTTGCATGTCATTGGGCAGAAACTTTAGACCGACTTGATCCAACTCAAAGATTGTATGCTAAAAAGGCAATCAACGATGTGCTATTTGAAGCGGAATTAGGAAATTTACATAGACATGCGGTTCAAATTAATACAGCCACATATATGCCTTATTTGCGCTCACCTCGGATATCTCAGCATTCACCTCAGCCTTCTCCCCACTCATCTCAACCATCACCCCCACCTCCACATTCACCTCAATCATCTCCGTACTCACCTCAACCTTCTCCGGACTCATCTCAACCATCTCCGCACCTATCTCAACCATTTCCACACTCATCTCAGTCACCTGCTACCAACGTGTTAACACCTCTTTCATCCCCTTCTCTCGCACTTGAATTTGAAACACAAGATTATCATCCTACATACTCCAATATTGGGTCACTATTTACTGACTTTACAGGAAATTAGTAAATAATTGCATTATGTTACTTTTTGGTTGAGATACTTTTCTCGTTTTGTACCCACTTGACATTTTTGAGTTTGTGTTTTTTAAGTTTTGTAAGAAAAGTATATGCTGTAAAAAATGTGCGTAATCTTTTATTAGACTTACCTTTATGTAAGATTGAAGAACATAAAGCAGCGCTTGACATGTGTCCATTATTGCCTTACTGATAGCAGCTGGTGACATTATAACCGAGAATTTTAAATCTTGAATGTTCCTACCGGTAGCAAGGTACCTTAAAGTGACAGCCAATCTCTCTTCCGCACTTATCGCCTTCCTCATAATCGTATCTTTTTTCGTCAAATATGGCTTCACCATTTCCAACAAGTCGTCAAAGCAGGCCTCTTTCATTCGAAAATAATTTGCGTAGTCTTCCTCTTCTTCTGCGTTTCTTATTTCAGTCAACAACTTCAAATGCGTATACTGATCTCTTTTCAGTAGCCACTCTTTAGTCCACCGTTTCCTAATGCGACGTTTTGTTGCACTCACAGCAATTATTATTGCAATAGCAGCTTTTTTTTTTACGAATATCCATAGTTTTTAACACGGAATATGTGTTTATTCTAGCCCGTTCTCAATTAGACTGATATCAGTCTGAATGATCATGTAACCATTGAAGGGAGTCCATCAGTTTGCGATCAGTCAATTCCTGATCAAGGTCATGGACTGAACTGATTCCAAACTGAGCGTGTAACCCCCGTCTAATGCGACCTATTGTAATACGACTATCTTGTGGCACGAGTGGCGACGCGAAGCGTAGCCACGAGTGTCCGCAAGATAGGAGTATTACAATAAAGCATTGTAACACGCGTTTTTCATACTATTTTTTCTATTTCGGTGCTTTAATTTAATTAAAAAAATCATTATCAGAAACTATAGGGAACATTAGAACTAACATGTTTTATGTTGGGAACACTTTTTATGCCGTTGTTTTAGGTTGGCAGCGTAGTAGAGACCATTTTGAAGTTCATAACATGGAAGTATCATATATATAAGAGTATATATATGGGAAGTACCCAACGAAGTACCTACTTGTACTAACTAGTAACTGCCAACTTAAGAGATGAGTTACCAAAAAAAAAAACGACTATAATCACTGTCTTTGTACAACTGTTTTCGGCCGAAAACAGTTGTACAAAATCATCATTGTGACACCGAAATAGGAAAAAGTTCTTCCATCCATTCTAATAGTTTAGATAAATCTCAGGTTATTGAAATTCGTTGAGTGACTTTAGGTTTCCCTTTGAGGGATCATGATTGGCGAGCCACTGCCTGATCCAAAAGGCGTCGTTGTCTTCTTTTTTTTTCTTTTTTTTAAAGAGAGTAACAGCAGAAGCAATAATTATCGATGCGGCAGCAATATTAATTTTTGAATTGCTCATATAATTATAAAATAATCAGTTAGGTGAGTTTTAAATAACAAACCTCCAGTGCGTACCACTTCAATTAATTTAAAAATTAAATATTACTAAATTGCAAAAAAAACAATGAATAAAGAAAAAACTTGCAAGAAAAATAGCACCAGTTCTAAACAAGAAAATGTCAGAATGTCTTGCAGCAATTGCAATGAATTGCTGCAAGAATTGCAATAAAAATTGCATCGTCTAATACGGTCTAAAGTAAGCGCTGCAACAGCGGGCAACGAAACAGGTGTACCCCTGACCAATTCAAATTCAAGGGCTTGCGGTTGCGCATTGCTAAGGGAGTCACGGTGCAACAGAGACGCAAGTGTTGGTTGATGGTCTATGGCTCTGTAGTCTGTGCTAACTGTTAACGGCTAACGCTAAGTGCTTTAATTTACGAACTGCATCTGAAGAAGACGGTCGTTCATTTTTAACATTTGTTTGGCAAAGAAATAACATTTGTCGTTTATTTTAAGTTAATTTTATTCTTGTGTTAACTTACCTATATACAAATCGGCCTCAAGATGATGTCCAATAAGTAAGTGCCATTTTGTTTATTTAATGTTATCAAATATATTAAAGTGAAAGTTATTCAATGATACAGATGTTTTGTCCATTCGGAATATTTGTAGGCACGCCATTTTCGCTGTTTTGTTTGTGAAATTTGCTGCTTTAAGTTTTAGCATGAATTTAATCTCCGTTCGAGATTGAGTTTCTTTCATCGCTGTCTTCAATTTGTTCTTTTGTGTTGTTTACTTTCAAGCAGTTTACGTTCATCTGCTATAACTGCAGACTTCCACATTCTGTGATTAAGTAATATCACAGCGACATCATCATATAATGGGCCCTCGAATTGGAGATGGAAGCAAGTGCTGGCGTAATGGATCGGGTAGATTAAAGGACGATTCTCCCATAAGCGACACGTACCAGCGCGGCGCAACAAATTATCCTTTTGGTAGTTTTGGTGAGAGAACAAACGGCCTGGTTCAGTTCAGTTTTAAAGCATGTCTTCATCGAGTAATTCACCTAGTGATCATCAAATGATTGCTTTGGTAATGTTGGCCGAAGTTGAAAAAGAAACAAAAAAGAACGAAGTGGAAATACTGGGTGCAAAAACTTTATAAAGCATTTTTCTGAAGGCGAATTCCATTTATTGAGCGTCTATTAGAATACTATAAAAGTCTGTATAGTCTTTCACAGCAACAATTAGTTCTTTTATTTTACACTGGCCTTTTTACAATTATTGTGAATAAAATGTTTTATGGCCGTTTGCACCTACAAATTAAGTGGAGCTTATCTTAAGCGTAGCTTAAAATTCATGGCACCGATTATTTAGACAATGGTTGCCATGGATTTTAAAGCTAGGCTAAGCTCAGCTACACTTAAATTTGTCGGTGCAAACGGCCATTAGTGCGTATGTATGCGGCAGCAGCCGATGCTGCTTCTCAATTTTCACATAGCAGCGACGTGGCATACAACGCTCTGCCGACAGTTAGATTTTGACACGCCGCGCCGCTGCTATAGTGAGAATTACCCCATTTAAAAGCACACAAACTTCTGGAAGCAGCAAATGCTGCACTGCTACGCGTCGCCTATGTGAGAATGGGCCTTAAGATACTCTACTATTCGAGCGAGAATATTTCTAAATAAATATTTTGTTTACTGGTGTGGAACAAGTTTGAATTTGGTTATTTTGAACTTGGCAAGAAAGTCATCAAGGACACATAATAAACATAAACTTTGGCAGGCAGGAATCTAATAGAACACCTTAGTGAGTGGGGTAAGGTTTATTTATTCATGTTTTGTTTATGTTCACAAGCGTAATAAGTAAAAAATTTAATTGAAGATCAGATATGAAGATCTTTAAAGTATCAATATAGGTAATGGCCCGTATGAATAAAAATAAGCAAATGCTTATACTTGCAAAATTCAAAGTAAATACTCGGTAAGTGCTCCTTCGCACTGGGCGACTTAGCAGCGCTTCTAAGCAGAAGGACAGGACGCAGTGCAGTGCTGCTAAACCATGCTAAAGAGACCAGTATGAAGGGGTAGTTATGAGTATTTACTTTGAATTTTGCAAGTATAAGCATTTGCTTACTTTTATTCATACGGCCCAATGTGTATTACTGGCATATTATGTTGTCTTATGTGTACTGTACTAGGTGTTCCAAATTGCTTGTTTTCGATATGGGAATATTTTGAGAACTGAAAGAAATAGAGTGATGAGGTTTACACTTGTAGTTACTTTTCAAAACTGCCGAGATTGATGATGTCAATTTTGACCTATGACTTGCGTGAACCTGGCAACAGCGCGAAAATCCAAAAATGAAATAAAAGTTTTAGCTCTATATCTCGGTTATTTGTGGCCTTGTGGGAATATAAAAAAAGTAGAAAGAATAATAGTTATGTAAAAATAGCCTCTTAATAAGGGGATATTTCAATACTGCCCACCCCTGGATAAGTGGATATAGCACGAAAGTTTGTTTTTAGCGCATTTTCTGAAAAAAATACGCTATTATATTCGTTATGGCTGGCTGTCCGACTGAGATCTCAGCAATTACAATAGCTAAAGATTTCAAATTTTCATTAAAAGCTTTCTGATGTAGTGTAGATGTGCAGGCTGTAGTCTATTTTGGGCTCGATTTTGGGTTAGATTCCTCGTGAGATCGGCAATTTTAAACTTTGATAATGAAATACTGATCTGCATTACCAAAAATGCGCTTTCATCATGCGTATGTTGATTTTCAACTTGTTTGAAATAGATGGATAATATTTTTTGCACCAATAAATGCCTTTTTTTAAGGGAATTTTTCGAAAGAAAAAAAAATTCCCCTCATACGAGCCCTTATGTGAGGGTTTCGTCCGTCTGTTCCTCTTCTAACTCCAGACCGAAAAGAGATAGCGATGTCAATCCTTTGCCAATCGATTTCTACAAGTTCAAGGATCAGTGAATTGAATATGAGCGGGTTTAAAAGTGGTTTCCGAATGCGAGCAGAGCGGCAAAAAATTCTCCAACTGAAAATCGTATGATTCTTCCGTACCTTGTTTTAATTAGAAAAAGACAAAGTTATCAGTACATTTGATAAGAAAAAAATTGAGATAAATAGGGAAAACCGTTATTCAGTCTTTAAAATGTCTAAATACAAGTATGCTGTGGAATAATAGCTCATATTTCAGGAAATACTCAAAGTAACAGTATTTTAATTCAATTTGCTCATTTAACTTAAATCTGACTGACATCGATGTCTATGATTTACTCAGACTTTAGATTGATTTTATATAGATTACATTGTTTGAGTATTTCCTGAAATATGAACTATACATATTCTAGGTCCTACTTGTATTTAATCAACATTTGCAAAACTGAATAACGGTTTTCCCTATTTATCTCAAATTTTTCTTGTCAAATATACTGACAATTTTGGCGCTCTATCTTAAAAACTAAGCAGCGTATGAAAAATATAAGAATATTCCCTTACCAAGAGGCTATTTTTACATAACTTCAATGTAATGTAACTTACCGATTATAGGCTATGTTAGGAATTATACTAATTTCACTAATAATGTACCTCCCCATGCCAAAGGGCTTTTGTGGACTCATTATCCTAACTTTTGTTATTAAGGCTGCGGCTTTCATATTTTATTTCCGCTTCGGCAGCCATTTTTGTACTACAGGGTCATCAAAATGGCGGATCCGATTTTAAACATTAATAAGTAAGGTTGCAGTTCATTATCTTAATTGTCACAGATTCCGGATTTTTGTAACGTAGAAAACGGTGTGGATGTAACAAAAAAAACGCGGCCACAGACTGCGTGGTCTACAATCTGTCAAGATTGGGCGCGAAGATGTAGTATGCGCATACATAATTAATAATGACGTCACATTTCTCAACAAAACATCCACGGGAACTAGATCAAGGTGAATCAACATGGCTATGGTGACAATGCATTCAAATTAATTTCTTTTTTGTCCTCTTATCTCTTTTCGTAAAAATCCAATATGGTGCCCATAAGAAATAAGAAAGTGGCTTCTACATTTAGCGTGATATGGAAATTCCGAGAGAAATTCTGATAACTGATTTGGATGGAAAACGTCACTTAACCTAATCCTTTTCTTCAATAAATCAAAGTTACCCATGCAAATCCACTGGATCCGGGACAACCTGTATATATTTCGTACAAAACGTGGCACCTCGCTACTTTTGAGTGATATGAGTGCTACTAAGAATTTCAGTCTCACAACAGGAGTGAGAGACAGTTAATATCCTTTTATAAAATAATCACAAGAACTGGAAAATTGGTGGCGAGTGAGATCCAAAGAAGATCATAAATTGTGACTGATGATGACATTTAAATTTAGCAAATACCTATGCATTTAACTTTTATGTGACAAGTGGACGTGAAGAAGTGGACTCGTTCATAAGACATAACAGCCACTGATACGCTACCTCGTAGTGTTTCGGTAACAGTTGTGATCTTATGTCACGATTCCTACTTTGACATATGTAACGCTATTAAAAATGGCCTACTGCTCCCTAAAGAGCGTAAAACTAGCGACGTAATTATAAGACGTATCGATAACTGTTCCACAACAGTTGTGCCTTATGAACACGCCCATTTTTACACCTTCAAAATTGATTTAGAGCTCATAACTTGGGAATGGTAGCATTGGAATGCTCAAAGTAGCGATTTTTGAACTCTTCTTTACAACTTAATGGATCCCATTTGATCATTTTTTCAATACACAAATAAGGTAGAATTTATTTAAATTTACTTAAATTAATGATTTAGAAGACTCAGTGTCCTCGATCAAATTTTGACACCTGAAATAAATTTTGGATGTGAAAAGAGAACTGATAGGAACACTACCTGGACCGCCCAATGGGTTCGAATAAACACACAGTCACTTTATAATCACTTTAAATAAGTTCTCCTCAGTGAATGATATCGACTTTTTTCACGATCCCCTAAATGAAATAATAAATCAAATTAGATCTTAAGTTCTAATGTTTGTTCAGAGCCCCAGTGCTATGTAATTGGAATTTTTATTCTGTATGGTGTCTGGTTAAACAAATAAACAATTATTTGATTGACAAAGACAAAACTTTATTCTGAGACACATTGTAATGTAAAAATGTAAAAATTAAAACAACATTCCTTGAAGAAAGACAAGCTTGCAAAACTGGATTAAACAAATTATTCTGCACGCAGGCGTTCGACAAGTAAAATAAAATCTTAAAATTGCTTATGAGATTTTTTTTCTTTTTTAAAAAATCCAAATAATCTGGTCGTATGTGATTTGCGATATTCAAGCACACTTATCAAAGACACATAAAAACACTCGCTGACAGCTTCAGGAAACTTCACTTTGTTTTTAAAGAAACTGGACTCAATAATTGGAACTAGCATGATAAACAAGATGAAAAAGATTCCGGGCGGCTACTGAGACGGTAGAAACTTTTCACTTTCACCAAAGAGCTTTCACTAAGCAGACAACTGCTTTGTTGAACTTAAACAACTTTCCACAAAGTTTTACAACTTCGGGGATAATTTAAATGCTGTATTAAGACTGCTCTTCTCTTTGCTGTTCTGCTTTCTTTTCGAGTTTCTTTTACACACTTTCTTTCTAAACTGACGAACTGCGTCTTCAACAAAATTAAAAGGGCCATACGCCCGTAACTTGGCGTAAACTAATTTACACACTTTTTTCGCCATCACGAACTAACACCAGCAGCCCCAATTTTGCCTTTTTTAAGGGAATACCACTCCTATCATAGAATAAATTCCTTCCTCCGGTATTTAGAAATAATGCACCAATCATGATTAGATTAGATAACATCGGCTGCCAAGGAACGCGTCTCCACTTACGTCGAAAATATTGCGCACATCGTAGACCACCTGTATCTCTTGTTATCAGCACCTAAAGCGACTTACGTCCGATAACAAAAACCTCTTATCGCAAACGACCAGATGTGCCCACATTTAAAGCATCTTAACTAAATTGAATATGAATTACAATAATTCTAAAAGGAATAATAACGCTACAGAAATACAAATTCAAATAAACCAATTCTGTGCTTACTTGTAAATTATCCCTCAGGTTTACTTTACTCAAATTGAAATAATTTTCATATACAGGGTGTCCCATCATTATTTTAGGTGTTTCAACCGAAATAAGATCTACAAGATGTCGTTACACAACAATATACATATTTAACCAGTAGTTTGTACACACCTCTATTATACACTATATCTAATTAAAAATTTAAAGTTACATTAATGAACAGGTTTCACCATTTTCTAGCTTAACACCATTATGTGCATTCGAAATCAACTACGAGCCTGACGCATGTGAAGCAATACTAAGGCATTTACATGCTCAATTGAAGGTATGTAATGATAATGTTATTTTCTTCACTCTTGTATGCTAATGTTGGCATGTAGTAACGGTGCGAGGATTGTCAAGCATGTTTCATATTTAGTATTGCTTTGCCTGCTTTATTTAAACTTGCTTATTGAAAGTAAATTTAGCTAATGTTAATGTTTTTCTAGTTCTTCTAATTTTAAAAACATCAAGTTACCGCCTTATTAGCCGAGAAAGTGGTTGGATGAACTCAATGTTGCAAGTCTTTTAATACTCGCCATTACCTGTTGTTTCTAATGTGACCTTGACAATGAACTCGAGGTTACATTCTGGGAGATTTTCACAACCTATCTGCATGCCGTGGACATAGATCTTCTACCTATCACCTTTGTTTAATCTTTACACAATTCCTGAGTTCCGGGTCGAAACCTGGCAACATTTTCAATGGGCTCTAAAAATCTTTGTACAATAATTGAAAAAGTATCTGCGTAATGGTTATTGGTTATGATTGTTTTTAGTACCCTAAACTCTATTCATTAGCAATAATTGTTTGTTATAGGGGAGATGATGTTAAACGACTTATGTGCCCATACAATGCGGCCCATTTAATCTTGGCGCATAGGATGCAACAGCATCTTGTGAAATGCAGACAGCAGCATCCCGAAATGCAACGTGATGTCTGCCCGAACAATTCGACTCATGTCATTCCCGCGCCAGAAATGCCAGTAAGTATTCTTTGCTACACAACTCGTATCTCGTGCAGAAAAATTGAATGCACTCACATTACATGGCGAATTAGACAAACGTTGCTGTTACATTGAGTTCGCCACATAATGTGTATGAGTCGCACATGGCCAACGTAGCTGTTAGTCAATGTTCGCCTACAAGTCTGTAAACGGGCCTGCTTCATCGGACAATTTGCAATGCTGTATTAACAATGCGAAGTTCTATATTGGAACCTGTGCCTATGCAAGTCCCCAAAATTGCATTTATTTTTAACGCATTTTTTAAGAACTTTAAAAGATGGGGGGGGGGTAACACATGTTCTACCCGTCATGGTATTCTAATGAAAGGCCTCATCGAAATAAATTGGTTTGTACAAACTATAACTTCCCCGTGCGATTCTTTTTCGCGATCAGTGAGCGGCGGGGCCTGAGGGGGGAGGGGTTAAAAATTAATTTGACCTCTCATTGTATTCTAATTAAAGGTCTCAACAAAAGGAACCGTTTTCTACCAACTACTGCCCTTCTTTCTGTCCTCTTACCAAAGTACGGGGAGCAGGAGAAGGGAGGGGGGAGTGGAACTAGTTTTATCCTTCATGGTCCTCTAATGAAAGGTCTCAACGAAAGGAATTAATTTCTACCAACCATAGCCCTCCTCGACCTCTTATCGTGATCGGGTATATACCTCAAGAACGGATTGTCGGAAGAGGGTACTCACAAAGGGCGATATGGTGAAGGACATCGTCTAGGTATGTGAGTTTCAGGGTAAACGAGTCTGCCCAATGAGACACGATTTGAGACTGGTAACCTTGCAATTAATAAACGTCAACCAATTAATTGCCTAGATATACCAAAAAAGCAAGCGAATTTTTATTTGTGGACGTATAGAAGATAATGAAGGGTATTGAAAGCTTGCTGTACTATGCTGTTGTTATAGAAGCTGCACTTGGTGTCTCCACGACTTTAGTTTACCCTGAGATTCACATACCCACTATGCATACCCACAACTACAGTGCCCCCTATCTGTGACCACACATTCTGTATTGAAAGCATAGGGCTAATAGATATAACAATTCTGAAAAAACTTCACAAAATCAAGTTAGTAGGTAATTTAAAATGATTATATTTAAAAAAACTATAATGGGAAATAAAATAATTCGTTTTAGAATTTTAGATACTCTAAATTAAAATCTTGTATGTTGATTATCACTTTTTTTTATCGATATTATACTGCTTAGGTTTTAAAGTTGACCCATATATATCTATATTTAGTTATGTATTGTAAGTATGTATTATAAAGGATTCATGTTTTAGTTTCATTTGGAGAGCTGCCCTGACAGACAAAATTTGGATAAATTTATATTCACAAGCTCATCCAGTGAGGAGAAATTTCCCGTTCCAAAGCTGAATTTAGAATCTACTGAAACTTGGGATGACGTAAGTACTTACCTCTTAGCAATTTCCTTTCCGATTTCTGATTCTAAATGTTTAGTTCTGTATATTTGTTTTTTTTTTCAGTAGTGCTTTTTCTACAAAGGCGAACTATATTTTACCTTTAAAAAATATTGATCTGATCCTTTTCTTCCATTAGTTACACTGTATTGCCCTATTTTTTTTTATTAAAAACGTGCTAATTTGTACAACAGATGTATATTTTGTCATATCCCAGGTCTAGCAACTCGAAACCAAAAATCAAAATCTCGTCTATTCTTTTTTAGGAATATCGTCCAACCTACAACCCCGAGGCCCATTGTGTGAATAAACCAGTGCTGAGGAACAAGAATGGTTTACCGCAGGCGCAACGACGACATTTCAGAATGGAGGAGAGGCAACGAATTCAAAAATTTGACACCAAGGAAAAGGAACCAACACCGAGAGAATTAGAACAGGTAAAAAGTTAACAAAACGTTCTATATTAATGAATGGGTATTCCTGTGAACTGTCAGAACTGTAAATTTTAGCGCATGGTTCCAAGCAGGGGCAAAGCTGTGGACACCGAGTTTTGATTGTCAAGCAACTTTTTACGGAACAATGCTAGTTATCTAAAATGTTCCTTACAACACAAATAACAGATTGCTAACCTTATGCATTTTATGAGTAACACATTTAGGTATACTTAAAAGCGCCTTCTATTGAGCAGCACTATAAACATGTCACGCCTAAAACTGTAAAATTATGCTATTATCTATTGCATAAATCCAGAAGCGTCATTTTACAGTTTCAGACGGTACCTCTTTATACTGCTGCTCAATAGAGGGCACTTTTAAGTATACCTAAATAAAATGCATAAGGTTAGCAATCTTTTGTTTGTGTATATTAATTGATTTGTGCTTATAGTAGACAAAATGTTGTTCAACTACTTTGGTGTCAGTAAGCAGCCCCGATTTTCATTTGTTTATTAGCGTTAGCTTTTGTTTCTTCATAGGTGTCCATATTGGTAGTTGACAAAAAAAAATTTGTCTTAAAAACTAAATCATCAAATTTTCGTTTTTCTCAAATATCTTGAAATCGAAAAAGTGTGTTTAAAACAGTGTATGTAATCAGCTTGTAAAACGTTCTTCTCTTCTAATAACTGAGATTCCTATAGTGGGCATCTAAATAAATACATTGTATGTTGATACATACTAGGTGAATAAAAGAAATTAATGTGCAGTGCACTAATGTTTTGCCTATAGTGTCATGGTAGTCATTTGAAAGTGTGCAGGATATACTAATAGAAATACTGATTTAATTTTGTTCCAGAACCTGCCCCAAAAATTACGACGCCCCCATGGAATGAGTATGGCAGCAGGAAACCAGCAATGTGTTGAAGACCCTAATGACATGTCTCATTTGATGAACCAAATAGATATTGGATCGCGTACTGTGGCATATCCTAAAATGGCAGCTAAGCAACCTGATGAGAATGAACAAATTTCTTACGCAAAGATGTAAGTTGTGGGTTGCATGCTCATAAGAGATTAGATAATAAACTACTAGTGATTATTAATTTTGGAAAATTGAGAAATTATCTGCAGTCTTACAAATTGAACATTTATGTAAACATTTTAGTGCGCATGTGTGGTACATTTTTCTGAATATCAAAAAACAAATACCTAGACAATCATTTTTTAATTCTAATTAAAGTTTTCACTAAGTTTGTTATTCTGTGTTTCAGGGCGGGTGTAGGGCAAGAACCCACAGGATCTGTTAAGAAGGTTGGACGTGGTCGAGGACTGGCCCAAAAAAATTGTTAGTTTTAGAAAATATACGCTTACTTTTGTGTTCCTTTTTGTTATTCATGTTTGTGTTTCAGTAACAAGTAAATGATATTATTTTCTATTCTGAGTTCATATGTAATCCAACTTATATGAAAACGAATCACTGTGTATCAAAATAATACATGACTACTGTTTTAAGACAGTTGACTTCAATTGATGAAGTCAAATCCCAAGGTCCCCCTTTCAGCACGTACTCCATCAAACTTACACAAAATGCCTCGCAAAATGCTATTGTCCACTAGGAAGCCTTTACTCTCTGTAAGCGTTCGTCTATTTAACACGTTGAGGGACACTTACGCCGTACAGCATTATAGATTTACATACAAACTTGACATGATGCCGTACAGCGTCCTCCGTTTAAGTACGTGTATTCGACAAAACGCTGTGCAGCGTCAATCTTGCAATATAACCCAATGATACTTGAATACTTCTGTCACACTTTCAATTTCCATTTTTGTTATACTGTCATAACTAAGGGTTTTTCTACTCCCACCAGCATCACTCATCTTTATGCATTCGCGCGATGCAAATTGGCGCGGTACGCTGTACGGCGTCACTGTTTGTTCACTGTCGTTTTGGCGGGAAGTCGTGTTTATAAGTTGTTTGTTTTTGTTATTTAGTGATTTTCTGAAGGACAAGTTAGTGATAGGTACTGCATATCGATTTCTATGGGTTCAAGGATCAGTGCTATTGAAAATGAGCCGGATTAAAAGTATGGTTTCCGAATACGAGCAGAGTGGCAAAAAATTCCGCTACTGAAAATCGTATGCGATTCTTCGTACCTTGTTCTTGTTACTATTACCAAAGAGTACTCTTTGCTATTACTGGTAAGGGTGAGTATCCAGCTTGACGTCTATCAGCGTCGTGGCCATATAGCGTATGAGACACCCAACAAAGTACGCCAGGAAGCTGATCAGCTTCAATAAAAAACGGGACGGAAGGGCTTTAGAATGATGACTAGTTTTATTTCTCAACCCGAAATAGCAATACAAAATGAACAATTGGCAAGTACAATTGAAGAAAGTATACTGTCACAATTTGAATTAAACGCATCCCATATGTGTCCTTCAACGTGTTAATAACTGGATTTTGTCAATTTTGTGAAGGGTACATGTGAGTATTTCAGTCTTTTAATGGCATCTCCATTACAACCAATATATTTGGAAAATAATTTTGGGCACTCCCACCCTATTTTTTTTAACATCCACAGACACTCCATTATGTTTGTCATGAATTGTATATTAACTATATTCCATTCAATTTAAGAAGGTAGTGGTAGAAAGTATAGGGAAGCTTTCACCTTCAGTGTGATTGGTTGAAACACGAGCAAGTATTACAGTGAAAAATACAAAAATAAGACTAGTGAATTTTGTATGCTGGTAGTTTCTGTTGTCCACTAAACTAACGAACTGTCATTACCTGTTAATGTCATAGATCCAACTGTGAAAATGTTTGATTTATGTCTGTTCACGGTGCTGAATATCTCTACCTTACAATAATGTGGTGCCGTTTTATATTTTCTCTGTATGATTATCTTCAAAGACTGCGCCATCTACTACCTACCTTCTTATGAGTGCGGTATACGTATAGTCTGATCCTTGCAGCATTCGTAGGCGTTAGCTGGGGGGAATGTTGCATTAAAAAAATATCAACTTTTGGTCGAATCTCAGGAACAGTGATCCAAAAAATTTTATACTATGCCCATGGATTGTACGTAAAAATATCTAACATGCACTTTTTACCATTTTTCTATCCTAGATATGGTCTCTCAAAAAGTCAAACTTTTCGATTTCACCCTGTATCTCAGAAACAAACATAGCTAAATTGATTCTGTTGTTGGTATTAAGTTCTACAAAAAAGTGGCACAAGGTCGCGAAAACCGCAAGTCTCTATCTTTAAAAACAGCTGAGATACAATGCAGTCTCAACCAACACACAGTACGTTTTTTTTTACTTTATACAACTTTTGTATTTTATATCTAATTTGACAATTGCAAGTAACGGGTGATCAAAGAAGGATTGACGTTTATAGTTGCCTTTGGAAGTGCAAGTTAAAATGTGATTCCCCATGTAAACAAAAATTCCATAAGCTGACTGACAGCAACTCTTTTTTGATCACATGGTACATACACCTTGCACTGAGTGACAGGTGAGTCACGGCCTTACGGAAAACGGACGTTTTTCAATAAAGAATAACTTTTTTAATTTTAGCAAAAAATAAGTTTTATTTTCATAAGGAGGAAAGGAGGGTTGAATGCCACGAACCTCACCCAAGCGTTACAGGATCCCTATATGATACGTTCTAAAAACGTCCTTTCCTGTGACTCGTCTTGTATAATAACAAGCAAATAAATTATCCTTGTATTTGATTTTTCAAAATATTCCAGGGAAGGCTCTTTGGACCCCAAATTCATGGCTGGGTGGGGGAGGGGGCGATTTCGCTGCACCCATAGACACATGCTAATATTCGCATGTCTGTGGTTGCACCAGAGACTCTCAAAACGCCACCCCTGCCACACTTTTGACATTGCACTTACCTTTATTTTCACATAATAAATATATTTACTGTGATAAAAGGCTGACTGGTCATTTGTTTTATAATTTTCACCAATTGAGTAGAATAGTCATGTGATGTGATTAATGCATTACATTCTCTCTCTAGAGGTCATTTCTGTCTGATCAGCACAGAACACTGTTCTGTGCTGATCAGTAGAAAGGGCGAATTCCAATTCTCCCACGCCAGTATACAGTATAAGCATTCCCCAAAAGCTACCTTTTTTCCTTCCTTTTTTAGAAATTTAATATAAATCTGTTACATTCAGTACATTTGTTGCTAAATTTCTATGTACATTTAGCACCTGTTTTATGTAAAAGAAATCATAGTTATGTCTACTTTGAACGTTTCTTCTTAATGAAAGGTGATAAGGCAGTAACCAGCTCTGTTTCAGGGATAGATACAACTCCAGGAGATATAGTAATACTAGTATCCTCTTCATTTTCCACTAATCCTTGTGAACTGTAACGCAATTCAATACAATTCTTATTACAAATAAAATGAGTAATCAACCTTGTACCAGCTTCTAAACTACTAAGTAATTGATAACCAGCGTCAAGAGTAGAAAATCCAACCTCACCATCGATAGCCAGGTGAACTTGGGGATTATCAATCTCAATAACATCTTCCTCTTCTTCCACATGTACCCTAATTACCCTAAAAGTACATTTTGTAATTAAAAAGTGGACACAACAATTTCTTACTTATTTTCTTTAGAATCTGGTGATGGAGTTTGACGTACGAGTAATCCTTCATAATGCTTATTAAGCTCTTTACACCTCCTTTGTAGAACATCAATATACTTTATAACACGAGTTTGATAATAGTCATGCAAACCTTTCACACCGCCCATTCCCAATTCAACTAATACACGTTCAACAATATTCTGTAATTATCAGATTAGTTCTATTAATTGTTAAGAGTAAAACATAATAGTTACTGGAAATTCGTCAAGTTTGCCATTTTCTTTATCTTCTTGGGCCAATTTCAAGTGGTAAATTATTTTCTTTAAAAACGCACTCAACACATCTACTAATACATTTAATACACTTGCAGATGTAGCTTAAATGTGGATCATTAATCAATAACATTAAAATGGTAATACACATACTTTCATAACCGATATGAGCGAACATTGTGGCGACACTTTTAGTTAATATTTGTTTCACAATAGTAGAGCTGATTTCGGGACTCAATTCAGCCTCGCCAAGAGAGAATTGTCTGCAATTTTATTTGTAATAGTAACGAATTCATTTTACCTTACTTCTCTACATCAATAGCTAACAACAAATTCCTATTACCTAACATCAGAACTTACGTAAATTCTTTAGGAATAAAATTTAAACAATTTCTTGTATGCTTTTTTTGCACTTCGGGCATCGGTGGTATGGGTGGTATAACATCTGCAGGAGGTATTAAATCAGATTCAATAGCTAATTCGGCAACTCGAACCATTTCGTTCATATGCTTATGCAAAGTTATTGCGTACATAATCAACGGGTCCATTGAATCTAAACTAAGAAATGAATTGGGAAATTAGTAACACTATCGGTAGTTCTGCTTACCTTACTTCTTCACTTTGAAACCTTTCATCATGGTAGTCTGAATCAAATTCGGCTAAGCAAAATCTATTCATGGATCGTTCGATGTCAGCACGAACATCTGGAAAGAACGAATCGTCGTTACTGTTAGTCTCTTGATTGGGAATTTCGCCCCAATGTGTTTTATTACTCGCATCCATTATAATGAAGAAATAAATAATTTAAATTTTAGGTTATTATCAACAACCAAACAGCGTGTAGTTCAAATGGGTGGCCGGGTGGGTCGCGTTCCAGGGGCGTTCCATAGCGGATATCATAATGGCACAGCCCCCCTCAAACTCAAAATTTAATATTAGGTAAGAGTCAATAACATGAAACTTGTGTATAATCAATGGCCCCGTATGAATAAAAATAAGCAAATGCTTATACTTGCAAAATTCAAAGTAAATACCATATATATAAGAGAATTACCATATATATAAGAGAAGATATATGGTAAATACTCGTAAGTGCTTCTTCGCACTGGGCAGCGCTGCTAAACAAACCAGTATGAAGGGGTACTTTTTGCTTACTTTTACGGGCTATTGACCGTGGTTTAAATGTTATGAAAAGTAGATTATATTTTCATTTGTAGTTCTAATGATTCTACGTGTTACTGTTAGTAGTTCTATTGTTTGAATTTGTTTTTTAATTTTTATGTTAGTCACTTGCCTTTGGTCCGTTGGTGTGTACCTTTGGTTTTGTTGCTTTTGCAGATTGTTCTGTAGCTATTTTTTTGTAATTTGGCGTGACAAAGTTGAAACCCATTTTAGTCGTTGAGTTTTGGAAAATATGGAAACTATTTTAGAACAGCAAAGGCGATACCACGAGGAGCGTGAGCGGTTAGTAGATGCCATGGTTAAAGAAATGCTTCATAAGAAAATCAGTGTAAGTTTTTTAGGTGTACCTAACTAGAAGTAATACAATAATAATAAATGCGGTGCTGTCTCACATAAATATTGAATTTTTATAATGTAAAGAATATTAATATTAATTTGAGGTTAGTTAATTACTCTTCCAACAAATGAAGTAACTGTAATCATTTGTACTAATGTTTAACGTTACTACAATACGATCCAAAATGGGATACTGTCGAGTTACTTTTTGTTTACATGGGAAGTCGTACTTGAACTTCCAAAGCCGACTCGACGGCAACTCATTTTTGATCGCCCGTTAGTTCTAAGTACTATTTTTTGTAGCATCGTGAAGTGATAAACTCTGATTATCGCTTGAAATATCTAATAGATCGGTATCTAACGGGCACAGAAAGGCTGGTTGAATTGTACGAAGACAGAGATGGACACAGAAAAGCAGAAGTTGCCGCACTGACTGGACCGAACGAATTTCAGGAATTTTACATGAGGCTAAAGCAAATTAAAGATTTTTACCGTAAACATCCAAATGAAGTTAGTATTTTTTGTATTTCTAAATGAATTGATGCAAGAGATTTATTTCTAGATTAGCATTCCCATGTCTGTAGAATTTGATGAATTGGCAAAGGCGAGAGAGAACCCCACAGATGAATTATCTAGTAAATGGCATTTAGATACTTGTTTTTCTAGATTTTATTTAAAATATTTTTAGATTTGGTTGACTTTTCCGACGAAGAAGGATATGGAAAATTTTTGGACTTGCATGAGTGTTATGAAAAATATATTAACCTGAAGGGCATTGAGGTAACTTTATAGTTAGATTTAGAATGTGTACATTTAAAAGATAACTATTTGAATTACAGAAGGTGGACTATATCACCTATTTGAGTATGTTTGAACAGCTATATGACATTCCAAAAGAACGAAAAACAGGGGAATATCGACGTTACCTTGTTATGTTAATTGAGTACTTGAGTTGGTTTGTGCAACGTGTGAAACCCCTAATGGATTTGGAAGCTGATTTACAGACGGAAGTGGATGCTGTTATTAATCAGTGGGATAGTGGAACAGTTCCAGGGTGGCCTGTAAGTAACTAGTAACATTCAGTGTTTTGAATTGAATTGAATTTATAATAATAATATATTTATTAGTGGTGTATAATAGACATAAGCATGTTCTTCCACACGGCAAAGTTATGTCATTGTAATCACCGATCTGTGCCCCTGAGTCATTTATTTGTGAATCAATTGATTTTTCACACTTACTATATGCAGTTCCCGTTTGTTTCAAATTCGAATTATCTATGAAAAGTTGGCATTTGAGCTGGCAGTAGTGTAATTTCTCATAATGAATATATTTTAGGTTATAAATGATGACAACCGAGGAATGTTGTCAGCTTGCTACATTTTTTAAACTATAGAATAACTGATTTTATAATTTTTTTCTCTATCGAATGACATAAGAATCCAACATAAATAATAAGACTAGAAATAAGTTGCTACGTTCACTTTGAGCAAAAGTAACAAAATTACCTTGAGATAAGCACACAATAAGCTAAGGCAAAGTAGAGATGAGTTAGGGTGAATATCGCAGTTCTTGTACACTAGCAATAACGAAGCAAAAGAGAAAAGTAAACTGGATAGGTGCCACTTAGTTTTTAGTAAATGTCACACGAGGAAAGAGAAGACTTGCCAAAAGGGGAAACCAAGGTAGACTAAGAGATCCTTGTTCTGGTCTTGATAAGCTCAAGAAATAAAATACCTGATAGGTATGGAACATAAACAAGAATTGATGTCACAATCTAGTGTGATTTAATAAATGATTTCAAAAATATTACTAATAGTATAGATCTGCAATTTCAATAGTTAAAGTTAAATTAATTTTTGGTAGAAAAGGTGATCAACACGTAGTGTGAGTAAGTATTAATATCAAAACAGGCTTCCTGAGAAAACAACAAAGCTATAATCGTTAAATGAACATCAAACAAAGGTAGTAATTCAATTTAGATTATACAGGATGGGCCATTAGTGTGTGGGTGGAAATTGAATATCGCAGTTACCATAAAATTGAGAAGGCCGTGACTATGCAGTGGTACTAATCATGAAATGTACTAACATACGCAACGTTAAAACTTCTTTTGTGATATAAGAAATCACTACATCAATTTTCAAAATTTCAAACAAAGGTAACTTATTTTTTAAATAGAACTACGAAGTTTTTTTATCGCATCAAATGTAGGGTTTTATTACCTTTATTAAGCATGTCTATATTTATCTTTAACATATTTTTTGTCAACAATTTCTAATAATTCGCGGTGTTTTTCGATTTTAAAAACCTCTTAGTAATTAGTAGGCCGTTAAAAATTATAAACAATTGAAATTATAAAAAAATTTACTCCAAATAAAACAAAATAAAAAGTCAAAAACCATAAAATACTAATTAAATAAAAATAAGAGCAAAATAACAATTATTTTAATAAATGTTCAAGATCAAACATTTTGTCAATGGGTTTAGAAAATAAATCTTTGACACGACAAAGCGCAGCTGGCGTTATGGATGCGAAAGCATTACGAATGGGCATTTGCATATTCTCTTTTGTTGTTGGGACTTTTTTGCGTACAGTTCCTTTCACGTATCCCCAACAGAAGAAGTCCACTGATGGTGCAAGGTCTGGGGAGCACACTAGTCAATCTAATAGGGCCTCGTCAGCCATTCTATAACATTTATAGCAAAATGAGGTAGAGCACCATCATGCTGAAACCACTTTTCTTCTACAATGTGCACCACAAAATATTGTAAAAGAGCAAAAAATTGAGTAGGTACATAATAAAGAGCACCGTTTAAAATATGTTATTCAAATTCAATTCTTCTAACAAATTAACTTAAGTAATCAACAATCAACAACAGAATTGTAAATGTCAATGAACTAAACTGACAGATGTTGTATCATTTTATTTTGTTTTAATATTTTCCAATATGGCTTTCGTCGATTACTATTCAAATTGATTTATTTAAGTTAACGCATTGGTTTAAATTCAAAATTCATTATTTTATCTTTTAAAATACGCTATGATGACTGTTTGTTTTGTTAGGGGTAAATGTTCTATCATTTGAATTGGTGTTTATAATTTTTAACAGCCTACTGATTACTGAGAGGCTTTGAAAATCGAAAAACACTGAATTATTAGAAATTGTTGAATTACAAAAAGTAAGTAAGAGATACAGACCGACATGCTTATATCGTTGGTAATAAAATCCTACATTTTATGCAATAACAAAAGCTGTATAGTGCCATTTAAAAAATCAAGTTACCTTTGATTGAAATTTTGAAAATTCACAGAAAGAAGTTTAACTTTAGCCGTTCGTCGTATGTTTGTACATTTCATGATTAGTACCACTGCATAGTCACAGCCTTCTCAGTTTTATGATAACTGCGATATTCAATTTTTACTGGACATCTACTTTTTGAAAAAACGACGAATTGCCGCGAAACGACTCATTTTAGATACCATGTGTAATACATAAAGTCACACTAACATTGACCAAGTAATCGAAATATGTAATAATCTAAAATAATATACAGGGGGTTCCGTTTAAAAAATGCAACTTTGATAGTGTAAAATCACCCTGTATAACAATTGCAATTTTGTTGAAAATATAATTAGTAGAGTCCTTCAACATTCCCCGACAATAAATTTTAATTATGTGCGTTAATAAACCGACACTCTTCCACTCACACACTAATGGCCCACCCTGTATACATTGGTAGGGTGTGGGCCTTTTGTTCTTATTTCTCGGTGGGCCTTTTGGGGTCCAGTCCGACACTGTGCGATTGCAACAGGAACAAATATCGAAGTGACCGTAAACCAATTTCGAGTAGGTAGTAATGTTGGTAGAATGAAGATTTATCAAGTTAATGTAGGTAGAATGAGGTAGATCACATGACGTCACCAGCGTCAATCTCGTTCGCTAAGATAGTTTGTTTGATCTGAGGTTAAGAAAAATGCAATGGCATTCACGTACTGCGTGGGTAAAAGGTAACGATTAATCCAGATCAAGTTAAAAAACGATAGAGCATCTGCATGACCTCCGTCCGTCGGCAGAACTATTGCAATAAGAAATCGATACCACTCGAATGGCCTCTAGTGGCGACAATAAAGAACTACGATAATTACTACAGGATATATCTTGATATATTTAAATCCCTTAGGATTCTTCGGAATAAGTAAACTGATTTTGAAAATATACTTTATTGCAAAGTATGGTCACTACTACAACTGTGTTCGAGGTCGCGCTGTACCTAATCCCACACAACTCTGAGTGGAACTAGAGTCTGGCGACCGCGATACACTTTTATAAGGGAAAGAGCGCACAACATTCTTAATTGTTAATTTCAACACATCTCATTAAGCGGGTTTACATAGGATATACCTTGATGGCGTAAGAATTTAAATCGGCAAGGAAAAAAATGTACAAAGTTGCTTACTTTTTCTTAGTAAACTCGATGGCATTTTTGGGTTATACAACTTATAACGCAGAATATCGCAGTGAGACTTGTTAAGTTATGCTTCTATAATTGATCGTTATGAAACTTACAATTTTTGTACAGGCTAATGCTCTATCCTTTAAAAATGATATCTGGCTACCAATAGGAGGCACTAGGTACGGTTTTGGTCAGAAGTAATGTCCCTCGATTATCTCAAGTGTAGCACATAATTAATATACCGGATCTCCTGTGAGATTTGAGCTTCTTTTCAACATGAGGAAAATGCCTAAGATTGAAATGAAATTGAACTAAATCACGGAGAAACTGACACATTGGTACTTTTTCTACAGTTGCAGTTTCTAAGGGAGGACATTACTTCTGACCACGACTGTACATTGAAACTGTAATTTGGTATTTTGTTTGCTAAACACTAGGTGGCAGCATTATATATAAACTATTTTGACCACAAACCATCCTAATGTTTTCTCTTCTTTTTAAGAAATTAAGACGATGACAGATTGTCTCAAATAAAACTTGTACCCCTAATAAATGAGTTTTTTAAATAAAAATATGTCAAATATGTATCTATCAACTTCCAATATTGTAATGTAAGTCATACACTTGTCTATTTTTGTGGACTGGAGAATTATAGCCCTTTGATTTATAGCTCACGGGTAGTGTTGCAAAATTCCTGAGAAAATTCCTGTAGTTTATTTATCGTTGTGAATATTCTGAAACTTTTGAGAATATTAGGGATTTTTCGCCAATATTTATCCTTGACAAAATATACTAAGTATACTATTCTATACTAACAATTCACCAAAGACCGAATCAATCTTTTATTACATATGTGTTTTTTTAAAAACAATAAAATTAAATTGTTTTTTTTAACATATATACCTATGTACATATAAAAAGAAAAACTTCAGTCTCAGTTCATATTCCATATCAACTTTCAAAACAAAATTCAGACAAAAATTCGAAATTATAAGTGAAGATTATACCCACTATGTTCAAATTTTTTTTTCTTTCTAATTCGTCCATAAGTTCATATTCTTTCTTGTGATCCCTAACATTCCATGTTAAAATTTTTTACATTTTTATCCTTATGTTTTTAGCGCATTTTTGCAAATTTATTTGTAAAAAGTAGATTTTAATCTCACTTTGGCTGGCTGGCTGGCTGGACGGCTGGCTGGCAGCAAATGTGGGCGCGTAGAAGAACTCTTGTAGAAAGGCAACGGGTGTACGTGTATCTACAAGGCCGTATAATTTCTAAACCTTAGGGACAGGGCTACATGATGTGGGGTTGGCGACATCTGGGCGTCGTCCTCGAGCGTAGTATACTAACGTGAAGGTTTCTCAGTTTTTTCCTATCTTCTACTACAGTTTTGGTCCGATTCTTTTCAAATTAGTGTCGTCGGAATGATGTTGTAAACGCGCACAACTCCTGCGTGGCGGAATTTTGTTTTTTGGCCTAGGGGCGAAATTAACGACCTTTTGCATGGCGCGCGCGCGCGTCTTCGAGAGGTAGTCAACTTCGGGCACCTTTTACCTTCCGTTGCGAATTCTGTCACGCGTTTTAACGTTTCGTAAATCTCGAATGGCTGTCTCTCTTTCTCGGGTCGCCAATAGAAGCTCGAGCAATGAGAAGTGCTCCCCAAAAATTAAGTACTATCTTGTGGAAGGTTTTTAGCAAGATCCATCAAAATGTGGGTGTAATATAAGTATACACCGAAAAAGGAAATGTGGTAGCCTCCGACAAGATCTAACTGATGGTGGAGAAAAATCTTCAAACGCGAATTGCGGGTGAACGGGACGTCGGAAATGGGTACTGTCAAAGGGAATGTGGTAGCCCCCGACACGATCTTACTGATGGTGGAGTCAAATCTTCCAACGCGAATTGTGGGTGAACGGGACGTCGGAAGTGGGTACCGTCAAAGGGAATGTGGTAGCCCCCAACACGATTTTACTGATGGTGGATTTAAATCTTCAAACGCGAATTGCGGGTGAACGGGACATCGGAAGTGGGTACCATCAAAGGGAATGTGGTATCCTTCGGCAAGATCTTTTATTCATGGTTGAATCAAAAGTGGCTAATAGAATCCTGATCTGCCACACAAAAATGCGCTGAAGTCCCTTCGATCTCACACGAGGACTTTGATAATTTTTTTATTTTTCTGACGGTATCCCGAAGTGAAATAAACACTTCTAGTAATTTAGCTTTTGTATTAATCCTGATGACCCTATACATATTACTCACGTAATCTGAAATAACTACAAATACAAATGGCACTTAACTTTCACAGAAAGAAACAGGATCTGCTTTGGCCAATGTTGGAGCACATTTGGAATTGTCTGCATTTAACAGTTGGGAAGAGTTGGCGTCGTTAGGCTTGGATAGGTTAAAATCGGCTTTGCTCGCTCTTGGATTGAAATGTGGAGGGTAAGATAATCTTTACTTATTAAGTATAATCCTCTCAAATTATTGATTCCTGACCATGTAGGACTCTTGAGGAACGAGCTCAGCGGCTATGGGCTACAAAAGGTACAACATCTTTGGATCCATCTTTAATGGCCAAGAATAAAAGTGGAAAGGCAAGTAAAGAAAGGGAACAATTGAGACACAGAGATCTCGCTTGCTTAGAGGCTCAAGTGTATAGGTAAGGCCGCTTTCGATTATTAAAAGAAATTATTGTTACATTTCGATTTGCTATAGGTTAGCAGAATTGGTTGCAATGCAACGTGTAGCAACAAAAGAAAATGTTCAGAGAAAACAAGCGCGCACTGACGGCGAGCGGGACGACAGTGAAAATGAAGAAAGCGACGAAGAAAGTTTGGAAGATGACACTGATGATGTTCCGTACAATCCGAAAAATCTACCCCTCGGTTGGGACGGAAAAGTAAATTGATTTCTAATTTAGCTTGACCTTACGCACTTTATTTCTAGCCAATACCATACTGGTTATATAAACTACATGGCTTAAATATTAACTACAATTGTGAAATTTGCGGAAATTACATTTACAAGGGACCAAAAGCTTTCCAAAGACATTTTGCAGAATGGCGACACGCTCACGGTATGCGCTGCCTCGGAATTCCGAACACTGCTCATTTTGCCAACGTAACCCAAATAGAGGATGCTCTTGCATGTATGTCATTTTATAGCAAAGAATATTTATGACTTAAATAATGCACTTTTAGTGTGGGAGAAACTGAAAGTTCAAAAACAGGCAGAAAGATGGCAACCAGAAACAGAGGAAGAATATGAGGATTCCCAAGGCAATGTAGTTAATCGTAAAACTTATGAGGATCTTAAAAGACAGGGTCTTCTTTAAATTTAGTATTACTAGTTTTATTTTATAAGCAAAGCTGGATTATTTTACAATGCCATGATTAATAATAATAAAGACAACATATAATAAAGTTTATTTTCCGCATCCACCTCCTGAACAAGGACTTTTTCGTTGTGGTCTATAAGACTTGCTACTGCTATCTCCCATTAGTGGATTATACTCTGCAAAATGCAAATATGTGATTAGTTATTGGTAACACGAATTTGGATATTCACCTGTTTTTAAAGTGTTCTCCTTAGCTGATCCTAACCTGTAACCTGATTGTTTAGAAAGCCATTCTTCTCTTTTTTTTGTTTCTCTCTATAACAATAAGCAAACAGTTATGAAATGTTGTATTTGGAGGACCTTATCCTAGATAGCATTCACCAATCACAAATACAGACTGAAATGTACCTATAACAGTAAGACATCACCTCTATTACATGAGCAATAATATTCCCATGGCACATTGTCCACTGACCAGTGAGTAATTCCGAGTAATAGTAGAGTAATGGTTGAGTAATAGTGGGCAATACTTTGTGGTAATAGGTACAACATTATGCATGAGTAATAGTGTACACATTTTAAACCAGCGGTTTACCCCTCGAATATCCCTTTATAGTCTTGTATAATTACTAATATACTATTAATACTACATATTAATTTAGCCTGCTACAATTGTTGACTAGCCAAACAAAATTCATTCGTATGAAACTGTTGTTTATTGGTATGTACGCAATCATGTGTCGAATTGGCTACTGTCTGGCTGCCTAGTGCGTTACTACAGCAGGCGTTAAGGTCGCAGTACAGGGACCTTATAGGAGGCCACCTCTACGAATAATAACTACCAAATGGCCTGAAATACGTACTAAGGCTATGTTCAGGCACTGCGATAATCGTACCATTCTCACAAGGATCTTATTTACATAAAAACCGGCACCAGAATCTCGTGATTATCGCTGTGTGTGAACACGGTCACACTAAAAATACCAGTGATTTCTCCATAAGTTTTGGCCACCAATAACATACATAATCTGTTGAACTTATGCGAGCACATACCTTCTCCTTTTTTTTTTGGTACTCCTCTGCTAGCTTTGAATATTGTTCCTGTAGTTTTGCAGCATGCTCTTGTTGAGCCACTATTTTGGCGGCAAACAAATCAGGATCTATTAATTTCAAGAATAGTTACATTTTTCACAAATCAAACTAGGTATTACTTTTATGATATTCCGCAGCATAAGCATCATTTCTTTTGCTTTCCAGATAGGTATATATAAATGGTTGCAATTTCTGGTAAACATACATCAGCAACACACTTGCTATAAGGAGATACCATCCATAATTCTCCAAGGTAAATATTACTAGGAAAGTAGTGTTAGTAGTTCCTTAGGCTATTTCAACATCGACTTACTTTTATTGTAGAAGTGTGATTCTGTACCCTCATAATCAAACATAGTCATTTTTACTTAAAATTTAATTAAGAAACTTTTAAGGATTTTGATGAAGACAGAAACTACAAGTAATATTCTTCCTGTTACCACATCATACATTTGTATTCAAATTCTTGACAGCTGCAGTTCACGCAATGTTGCCACAATTAAAGAATCCATAGGGTGATGCCGTAGTTTATGAGATTTCATTTGTCGAGTTAACGACATAGATCGAACGATTTCAAAATGTCAAAACATCAGGCACGAGTGTGGGTACTTTCCTTTGCCCATGTCACGTGGCGTAATTTGTGGAGTGGAATTTTGTTTCATGCACAAAGTTGGATTTGCCATTTACATTCACTGATTTCATTTAAAAGCGTTAATGGCTAATTCGTAATATAAGCAACGCGAAGTGAGTAAACCAAGATATACCCCCACGGCCCCACAACGCGAAGCAAGAGCACATGAGTACTTACTGGCTTCGGGTTGTGGGTGAAGAATTATATACTTACGTACCCATAACGCGTTTCGGTTAATTTTTTTACCCGTTCATCGGAAACGTTTACTCTTATCGCATTCTAGGTAAACTGCGATGCTCACAACGCGTTATGGGTATGAATTTCGGACACTGAGCCTAATGAATAAAAATGTAGCAATTGCTTTTGCTTACAAAATCCAAGTAGGTAATTGCTTCCAACCCAATGAATAAAAAATGAAGTAAATGCTTTTGCTTTCAGCAAATGCTTAATTTTGTAGGAATTGTTTCTAGTCAAAGCTTTTGCTTAAAAAATATAAGCAAATCTGACGAATAAATTAAGCAAGTGCTTTTTCTGGTGTAGCAATTGCTTTCAAATTTTGTAAGGTAGGGTGATCCCTGCATCATTTGCTAAAACTGCAGCATAACACGTGCGTTGATCATTTGTGTGTCATTTAATTATGGCTGAATATATGAATGTGCGTAAAAGAAAAATATACAATTTACGTAAAAACTGCCGGGACGATGATTTCAGAAAGTTATATCGATTTGACCGCGAAAATGTTGAGTGGTTAGCAAATTATTTTTTGACTGATACTGGTGAAAGGCGAGGGGCTGTACTATCACCTATAAATAAGATGAAAATCTTTCTGCGGCAATTGTCGGATCCGGGTTTTCAAAATTCTGTGGCTGAAGAACTTGGTGTTCACCAAACTACTATCTGTAAGACATCCACTGTTGTAATGAATGCAGTTTTGGGGAAGGCCAATATTTTTATTAAATTTCATAGACGTGCTGCAGCTGTTGTGGAAGCTAAACGCTTGTGGCCAGGGAGATCTCGCTTTCCAAATGCCATCGGTGTGATAGACTGCACACACGTCAGGATCCCAAAGTTTCAAGAATTCGGTGATGAATATATAAACTGAAAAGGATACCCCAGCATTAATGTGCAGGCAACTTGTAATATAATGCACAAGAAGTATTTACAAGTGTAGACTGCCAATGGCCAGGCTCTGTGCACGATAGTAGAATTTTCAAAAACTCTAACATATACAACATCCTTAGAAACAGCACGGAAGAATGTGTATTATTAGGAGACGATGGCTACCCTATATTCCCATCCTGCAGTATAAAATTAGGAATAAATTAGACAAAATACCATCGATGATAATTGCCTGTGTTGTGCTTCATAATATCGCCAAACATTTAAATGATGAAGATTTTGATTATTCAAATGAAGAAGCTAATTTTCAAATTAATGCAGAAAATAACAATCTGACATCAAATATGATTCGTCAACTAGGACAGCAAAAAAGAGAAATAGCAACGCAACTACTCTTCAATAATCATGTAAGTATAATTAATCTTAATTTAGTCTCGTTTTCAAAAGTATAAATCTTAATCAGGTAAATAAATTAAACATTAGAAGACATAAAATATAAAAAAAATTAAAAGAAATTTTATACACAGTTTTATACGTATTTTCAACTTAAAATTTATTCTTATAATTATAACTCGTACCCAAATAAAAATATCATATTTAGCTTTCAAAATCAGTATGGATGAACCAAAATAATAATACTGTTCGGATTTTATGAATCTATGTTCCCTGACTATAAATCAAAATATATACGTTGCCTTTTTCCGCAACAACATTGCTTACATGAAGTAAATCATCAGATTGTCTCTTGAGGATTTCTTCCTGTTGCATACGACACAATTTCAACTGCTCTAATAAAACTAATCGTTGAAGTTCAGCAGTTGATAATGTTTTTGTTTCATCCGTTTCAGATAAAGTATTTGATATTTTCACTTTCTTTCTAGTAGTACTACATGCTGCAGCTGCAGGGACTAGAAGGCCACTCGATGCTGAACAGGGCTTATCAAGTAGTATATCTTCATCGGTTCCAGCAGACACAGCGCCTAAAAATTTATGTTTTTTTTTTGTTTAAAGAAACAATTAACGTACCACATAGACTACACAAATATAAAAATTGTATATAGGTACAATACCTGGTATTTTTTTAAAGATGGGATTCTTCTGAACATCCAAAATTTCTAACAATAATTTTTCCCACGGCTTATAGATCAATGGTTGCCTGTCTTATTAACATCAAACTTTTTTTTATCTCTGCCTTCATATTATACTAATTTTCTTTGCCAACTGTTTTGTTGTAAGTGAAACGTTAAAAATATCTTTATACTTATTGTTGGACTAAGACGATTAAAGCGGCCTCCTTTTCTAGGTACTTTAACTTGCGGAACTTGTGATTTATTAAGAACTATTTTATGTTCCTTTAATTTGTGGACAAATATCAAATTCTTGTCTTTAATTTCGTCATCACTACTCACAAATTCTTCATTTTCACTCGAATCTGCCATGTCACAAACAATTATTTCACATAAACGTAACACTAACGCTGGTAACTTCACCTACCTATAGTGCACATTCGGGGCCGAAATGAATCGCGATGAATCGGCACAAAATAATCTGAAAGAGTGGATAAAATACGTCTGAACTTTGCATTGAATAAGCAATTCCTAGAGAAGTGTAAGAAAAGCAGCATTTGCTTCAAAATTTTATTCATAGCAAGATCTAGCAATAATTGCTTTTCCTTATAGCTTTTGCTAGTCAAGCAATTGCTTTTGCTAAGAAGCAATTGCTTGAAGTAATTGCTTGATTTTTATTCATTAGGCTCACTGTCCGATTTCGGCTATATTGAGAATAACATATATATATATATATATCGTAGTCTTTTAGTCAAATCCGTCATTTCACCAAAAGCCTAGTTCGAGGCCTAATAATGTAGTGAAACGTGAACAATTTGACGTATGGGGTAGTTTCCCATCCCCTTCTAGATCGATACGGGATACCATTTATCGATCTCAAATCGCTTATTAGCCCTAAAAAGTACAATTGTGTCACAGTCGTTTTGTGAAATGACAAGACTACGACTGCCTGGGTCCAATCATTTGTCGAATCACGATCATCAAAATGAAACAGGAATTTTGGCGAAATGTGGCAACCAAGCAATAATTTTTTCTTTGACTTTTCAGTTTTGAGGTTATGTATCATAATATGGTTATGTTTTAGTTTTACGATTCTCCAAACCTTCGAAGGTGTTTACATTTTTACAGACGTTTCTGTTTCTAAATTTCTTGATTTGAAGATGTTAATTACAATGATCAACTAAGAGAAGAACCAAAAACCATTGTTTTTACTAGAAGGTATTTTTTAAGACAGCTATTGCAATTTTCTTATAATTAAATCACACTACTATTTCCATTAGCATGTAGGCGAAGAGTACCTATAGCCTATTTGGCTTTTTCTTTGTCACTGTTGCAGTTACGGTTCTGATATATCCCATACCATTATATTAACTAATGATGAACGGCAATTAACAACATCAAGATTGTAAATCTGCATTTTTGTTGTTACTATCTCTTTTCCATTCCAGACAGTGATATATTTGGTAAAATGGAGGCAAAAGCAGAAACTGAAAGTTCGCAGGGCGTAGAAACAAATAAGACTACATTTAAGAAACCAATTTTAATAGGTAAAATTGGACGTTTACCTAGAAAAATGTTGACTTCTAATACAGCTTCACCCAACACTACCGACAAATGTGAAATTAAAGTACAGAGTAGCGAACCTGCTTTAGAAACAATTGAAAACTCTCTAAGTGAACAATTAGTAGATCCCGAGCAAAGTCCAGAGCCTACTTGTAAGTATATAATTTCAAAAGTTTTCGTTACTGGGTGATTTCATTAATCTACCTTTTTTCATTTCTCATTTAAATTGAGCCGTCCTGTAATGTATAATTTCCAATACAGTCTGCCGATTAAGAGTTTGCCTCGTGTCGCGCAGGTGAATTGTGCGGTCAGCTTTCTAATACAGTGTTATCTCTTTAAACTGGACAATTAAATGCAAGAGATGTGCCCGAATTAGTGAATTATCCAGATTGCTTAATAGTATGCTATACTGCGTGAATGTATGTTAACAACTTGGACACGTTTATTTTATGTGTTCAAATAATTTTATATTTAAAAACAGCACAAATTCTCATGAAAAAATATATAACAACTGAACATTCATCTGCATAGGTAAAATACTGCGTAAAATACAGATGTATGGGCATGTAATTGTAAAGAAAACTTTTAAACAAACAAATATGTATATTTACGTACATACAATATCATTGTGAGATTGGTGCATCTGGATTAGCATAAGTAAAGAGGTTGCACTGTATTGGAAAAATTCAGAGTAGTTAATGGGACACGGTCAACTCGCCACCGGACCACTCGCCACCGACTGACTCGCCAACGGGACAACTCGCCAACGCGACAACTCGCCAACGGGACAACTCGCCAACGGACGACTTGCCACTGCGACAACTCGCCAACGAAATATTTTTCCCTGTTTAATGTGTCATACAAATGCATCTCACAAATGCAAGTCAATTTCCCTAATCTTATAAAAAAGTTTATCGAAAAATTGTAGTCAATATTTGAATGAAGACCCAACCGCCTATATGTACCTGCTTCTACTGCATTTTGATATAACGACATCTTCTGAAAATTATTATTTGAACAGAAAATTTGGCAATCACATCGTTATTTGAATGACACATTAAACAGGGAAAAATATTTCGTTGGCGAGTTGTCGCAGTGGCGAGTCGTCCGTTGGCGAGTTGTCGCGTTGTCCCGTTGGCGAGTTGTCCCGTTGGCGAATCAGTCGGTGGCGAGTCGCCCTTGGCGAGTTGACGCGTACCGGTAGTTAATATACCTACCTAATAAACTGGGTCCTCGACTATATCTCACGTCGCCACTGGAAATATGCAGTCGCGTGCTTTGAATAAATTTAAATGTAGAGGAGTGCTGTTGTGCCATTTCTTAACGGACGGACTGTATGTGTCATTATGATTACTTTGTCTGCCTCTCGGCATTCATAGCAATTACTACTCTGTTCATTCAATTTATTAAGCTACATTTTCTCACTGTCAATATTTGAAATGTTGGTACAAAAGTAATTGCGAGAATAATTGTCACGACACTGAGGAAAATTTTTTTCCGTTTATATTGGTAGGTATACAGATTAGATTGAAGTCTATGCTTGCCTATGGAAATTTGCGTGAAAATGCTGACAAGTGTCTCCCATGCCCAAGTTACTGGAGCAAACAGCAACTTATTAGGGGGTGTTTCTCAAATTGTGAAGTCTTTGATTGCTAAAACAACTTTCTTAAAGCAGTTTTTGGGGTAGAACAAGTTGATGGCGTTAGTAAAGGATGAGTGAAATCCAGTTTCAAGGTAAGGTTTCAAAGTAATCCATGCATCCTATTTTGGTTGAAACTGCAGTGTATCTCAGCTGTTTTTAAAGTTAGATACCCTGTGCCACTTTTTTGTGAAAGTTTTAATACCATAAACAGAGTCATGCAAGCTATGGTTGTTTCTGTCGTACAGGGTGAAAACGAAAAGTTTGACTTTTTGGGAAAAAAGGAAAAAAGGTAAAAACGACCTACTTTAAATTTTGTACGTAGAATCCAGTGGACCACTCTCTGAGATTTGACCTAAAGTTATGGTATTTTTTAAATGTAACATCCTGTATATCTTATATACATTATGATAAATTTTTTGCATTCTTTTCCCTGCTGATTGAGTATCACAACCTATATTTTTTATATACCTAATTATATACTGTGTCCAAGATAAGGATGTACAGGGCGTGTCAACGATTGCGCAGAGTAACTTAATGCCTTGAAGATAAGATCACCTTCTCATTAAAATTGAACCTGAGAGAAACTGGTCAGTATTTTTCCATCATTGACGAAAACATAAGACAGCGTCTAGTTTGGTCCACTCTGTATACCTAAGTGTAAACCAAATTTACATTTACAGACATGTCTAAAACATTACTAACATGTCTTAGACATTGTCAACATTTTGCACATACCAAAATTTTAAAAATAATGTATCAAATGTTAATATGTGGCATTTTTTTTAGCAAAACCGTTAAAATCGCCTGCCGAACAATTATGTGAAAATGCCCAGGCACTTCCTTACAAAGAACCATCTTGGTCTGGTTTACCGCAACAATCAGACAAAGATTATACTTTTGAAGTTTTGAAATCAGGTGTCATAGTTGAACAAATTAATCTGATGAAAAAACCATTCTGGGTGTTTGGCAGATCTGTTAATTGCGACATCTATATGGCTCATCCTACAATTTCCAGGTATTGTGCACGGGTAGCGTTGGCTGATCCCTTCTGTTTTAACTGTGGTAGTCTTTTAGGTATCATGCCGTTTTACAATATAGGGCTGTAGCAACTGAAAAAGATACTGCAGGATTTTATATTTATGATTTAAATAGCACCCATGGCACCTTTCTAAATAAAAGAAAACTGAAACCTAAAATGTATGCTCCAGTTAAAGTAAGTATGTACATAATACAGCATAATCGTGTTGAAAGCAACGAAACATGTTTTTATGCTTTTTGTAACTAAAAAGAAAATTTGATGTTTGCTGGGAAAGTAGCAACAACACAAATTAACAAACAAAGAAAAACCTTTGAAATAATAATAATAATAATAATAATAATAATGATAGCGTTGGCTATTGTGCCCATCAATAGCTATGTTGGTAAGTATGAATTACATACTATCTCTAGATTGCAAATGACCCTACATAACTTCACCAGACACAGACACTAATCGTTACTTGATTTTAATCGTGCGATTAGTTAACCACGCTAGACCTGAGTTCTCACAAGATACACCGACCATAATAATAAATATCTTTAATAAGTACCTATAGGTTAAATTACATAGAAATGTGTACAAAGGGCGAGATTCAGTAATGGAATGAAACATATGTACATACCATTTCTGCTCTTCCATCTAACCCATGTGATTCCGTTCATTAACAGAAAATACAAAAAAAAAAAAAAATAATATATCTATTGTTCGTGCAATAACCTCGACATGGTAGCTAATCTAAATGTTTTGTAAGGCATGCTTTTGATGTCCATAGCTAGGGAATTATACCATTTGCTGATGTTGTAGGTAAAAGATCTTTCATACATAGCTGTGGCGTGCGAGGGAGGTGTAAGCAAACCTTTGTTTCTCAAATTTAGCGTATGTACATCAGTTCTGTATTTTAATTTGCGGTATAAATAGGTGGGTTGATTATTAACTAAAATTTTATAATACGTGCTAGCAGCATGTCCAGCTCTCCTATTATGCATATTTAACCATTTTAGATCGATCAACTTGTGACTTACATGATCATATTTCCTCATTCCGAAAATCAATCTCACACAACTATTTTGTACTTTCTGCACACGTTTGTTATCAAAACTAGTTAAACAAGGACCATATACTACATCCGCGTGGTCAAATTGTGACAAAACCAAAGAGGAGCAGAGAAGCACACGAGTAGACCAATCCAAGCAATTCCGCATATGATATATCGTTTTAAGCGACGCATAAGATTTTCTAAGACAAGATGAGATGTGTGGTGTAAATCTTAGAGCGGAGTCAATATCAACACCAAGATTCCTAACCGTGTCAGCTAGTGGTATCAGAGTCCCACAACAAGTTACCTTGATGTCATTCAAAGACTTGAGTCGATCGGTTTTTTTACCAAACAATATCGCCATGCATTTGGTTGGATTTAACTGTAGACAGTGCTTAATGGAAAACTATTCAATGTTATACAAGTCATAATTGATAGCCGCTATTGCTTGTTGAACTTCGGTTGGATAGAAGGATAAATACAATTGAGTGTCATCTGCATAGCAGTGTAATGTAGACGAGGAGGAATATAAGTGCATTTGAGAAACATATATACAAAACAACATAGGGCCTAGTACGGACCCCTGCGGGACTCCATTTAGTACGGTTTGGTAGGAGGACAATTGATTTTCATATTTCACAGCTTGCGTCCTGAACGATAGGTAATTGTTAAGCATTTGTACGGATATATCTGACATCCCGATGTACCTTAGTATTGAAACGAGGAGTTGGTGGTTCAGCATATCGAATGCCTTGGTAAAGTCTAATAGCACCAAAAGTGACAACTTGCCGAGATCACTAGCCGTTAATATGTCTTCAGTTATCTTTAACAGCGCAGTAGTGCAGCTGTGGTTAGGTCTAAAGCCAGATTGGCACTCCGGAAGTATATTATATTTTGATATATGTTCTTGAAACTGAGTAAGCATAATTTTTTCCAGCACTTTGGAAAGTACGGGCAAAACACTAATGGGACGAATATGTTTAAAGTCAGTCACCTCAGAGGTTTTGCGTATAGGGACAACAATTGCTGGTTTCCAGGATGAAGGAAATACCCCATTACGCATGCAGTAATTGTAGATGTGCGTTAAATATGGTAACAAAAAGGGAAGACATAAACGAATAGTTAAAATATTAACGCCGTCATATCCAACAGCTTTACTTTTAATGCCCATAATAGTATTTAGCACAGTGACTTCATCAACCGCCCTAAAAGTAAATTCTGTGCAATTTTCCTAACACCTGTTATTATTGTAAAATAGCAATAAATCCTTATCAGGTTGTAATGAAGCAGTGGACTGCAGAAAGTGATTATTCAGAGCTTCCACATCAGTAAAATGATCCGGCAAGATGACATTATTATTGGACCTAATATTAAGTTTTCTGATTTCTTGCCACATCCTCCTGCTATCGGAAGCACTTAGCACTGTTTTGTAATAAGCCTTTTTTTCCTTAGCAATAGCAGAATTGACGTAGTTGCTTGTAAGACACCCAGTCTACCTCCAGTTTACAACGTTTATAGCGAGATAGTGCATTGTCTCTAGTTCTCATCATTTCCTGAATGCATGGCGTTAACCAAGGAGCAAACTTTTTGGTAATGCGATAGGTCCTGAATGGAGCAAACACATTTAAAAGAATTTCCAAATTATGATTAAGAAAATTAATCTTGCTGTCAACATCTGGCAGATCATACATTACCTTCCAAGGGATAGCACGTAAATGATCGTAAAATGCTGTGCGATTAAAATTTCTAAAATCACGCGCAGTTTTAAAAACTGGTTTGCGACTCAAACCTTTAAAAGTAAGAAAGCACGATACCAACTCATGGTCACTTATGTGGGATACATTATCAACCCTCACCATCGTGACGTGCTCAGGGTTAGTGACTAAAATGTAATCTATGAGGGTAATTGACTGGTCTGTAATTCTAGTGGGCTCTGTAATTAGTTGGGTTAATCCCAATCCTTGGAACGTATTGAGGGCAGTTAGGGCACATGTATCGAGAGGTGGAAGTAAGTTAAAATCGCCTAAACAATATATCTCATCGGCGCATGTTAAGACTTCAGCTACTGAGGACTCAAAAACATTGAAAAAATCGGTATAAGATGCAGTTGGAGCTCTGTACATAACTGCTATAGCTAAATTGGTACGATTTAAGCGAATTTTAACCCAAAGCTGTTCGATATCCTTTGATGAATTTATAATGGTAGGATTGTACTTACTCAATACATAAAGTGCTACACCTCCCCCACGACTACCTCTATCTTGAAATAGACAATCAATTTTCCAAGCAATTTTCTGAAAACTCCTACGTGCTTAAAGTTCAGTCTGGTTCATTTTGTTAATTTTTATGTAGAAGTACAAATTTTAACTTGTTTAACTTAATGACTTGAATGTTAAATTTTGCTATATCTACAGAATTTTATCAGCACACAAAGGTGCATTAAAGGTAACTTTCCTATAAAGCGTCTGACGCGGTGTGGTTTTTACGCATGCAACTGGAGACTGCCACAGCATGCAGGTTGACGCAGGTTGGAACATGCTTCCATTGCTTTCTATTGAGGCGGTGCATTGCGTCAGCCGCATCGCACCGCGTTAGACGTTACATAGGAAACGTACCTTTATCTACGCGCTCTATCAAAAACCAAATTGCTTCCTCATTTGCTGGAGCAAACTGTGTGTTTACTTTTTGCGGGAGGTAAAGTAATCAAAAACTCCCTACAGGAGGTAAAGTAATTTCCATGGAAACGTAAATGTCTGTGGTCTTTAACCTACAATGTTGTACAGAAAAAATAGCCATTACCTAATCCCCAAATTCAATAATATCAAAGTTACCTATGCAATCCCATTTGATTTACATCATGGTACAATAAGACAAGGTATGCCTATGCGTGACGTCATTGGGATAACTTGGCTCTACCGTTCAATAAAGTAATGGGGTTTGTGTAGTCCTACCAGTTAATAAAAGTGTATCCCCTTTACGGATGTGATAAGATTTGTTCAATCCTTAGATCATATAAACATGGATAGAGCTATCTCATAAGCTCTACTACAAGACAACCGTCGCCAACATTCCAACGTGCATTTTTATGCCTATCATCTTTTACTATTAGTAAGTTGTAATGTATTTATCCTTTGCCGGGTTGATTGTAAAAGTGCGCAAGCTTGGCGATTGTTAGAACGTTTGTCCGTTTGACATCGTATATTCGCAAACAGCTGTTTTTGTTGTTTAACCTTGCTTGACTTTACATGGTTATATATGAAACTAAACTTTTAATACTGTTCTGTACCACTAAATTGTCCTATAAAGATGTATTTATTCATGTATTGAGAACCTTTATTACCCTAAATAATAAATAGTGCATTGTTTATTAACATTGTGAGGTTAAAGATTTGAATTTTCTGATTGGTTACTATCACTGAAACTGTACATGGAATAACAACATATAAAATGTACGTCGACAAGAGAGATACAGCACAAAAGTATGTAGAGTCTTGAATCAGAACATGTTGGCGACATAAGTGTAATTGCATCGCTCCATCCATGTTTATATGGTCTAAGGTTCAATCCATGTCAACTGCGTCAAGTTTCTCACATTAAACTTACAAAGTATCAATTATTGCATGTTATGAATACAAATATTTCAAGTTACAATAAAATATGCAAGTAAAAAAATTATATTAGCATTTTCAAATAAGGACGAGACCTCTAGCGGCAATAAAAAAAACTTAAAAGGTTGATTAAATTTCTGAAATAAGTACCTATATCAAAGAGTATGATTATGGTTACTCTTTGCCTATATTAAGTGGTACGTTTAGCTTCTCTGTTGCCTTATATTTATATCTAAATGCATTCCGAGATACATTCAGTATGATTACTCAACCAAATTAATTGAGTAATTGCAATGGCACTTCTAATTCAAGTATGAAGCGTATGTCATTTTCAAACTTGGCGGTGATTCTTGTGACATCATTGGGATAAAAACGTCATCTGCGTTTAGTTATACATAGGCATACCTTGTCTTATTGTACCATGGATTTACATTATCCGTTTAATAATCTCATTGTCCAATAAACAACTCATACTTGGCACATCTACTTTGAGGCATATAAAACAACACGAAAACTTCTCATCAATTTAATTTTGAAAAATGATAGTTACATTGTTTAACTGTCATAATCTCCTTTGCCAATCTTGCTGATTTTTTCAACCGCTTCCGGCAATGAAGTATATAAAGTTTCATTACTTGCATTTTTGTCTTGTAAAGTTTTCTTGAAGTTCTTAGTTTTTTCTTGTAAGGTTGATAATTTTTTTTGAATTTCATCCATTTGGCTGTTCAGCTGTTCAATGCTCAGCTCCGGATTGTTCAGGAAACTGAATTCCACTTTTTTATTCGCGTTGAGTAAATCCTTTTGGTATTTAAACTGAATACCTTCAAGGCGATTTCGTGTAGATTCAAGATCCGTTGCCGACTGATAAATTTTCATTTTCACATTTTCGAAAGTTTCTTCTATATTCTTCTGTCTCTCATCTACTTCACCGCGCATTTCAGACGTCTTCTTTGCCAATTTTGAGATTTTATGATCAGATGTTAGCATTATTTCCGATTGTGCCGTAGCGTAATGCGACGCTTGATTCAACGACGTATTGCTGTTTTGATCTAAAATATTTTCTTCTGATGTGGTAATTGGTGTCCCAAATGATGGCATTTTGATGTTTAACATTTTTCTGGTTGGAATACCACAGTTTTGTTCGTCATTGGAGCAGCTCATAATTATCAAAAGAATTAGAATTAGTTGTCACACTCAATTTGTCAAAACTTGTTTACTAGCAACACTTGATTTGTTTAATCAATACTACACATAGTAACAGCGTCTTGTCGCGTTGTCTGTTGATGATCGTCAACTTTTACGACCATCATTAATCTTATTCCTGAGTTTGTTAGTTTGCATGTTTTGCTTCGTCTATTGCGCTACATTTTTATACACAGACCCATTGTAATGGAACGTCAATCATTATTGGGTGCTCATGCATGCTAACAAAAAAATGTTAAAAGCGTTACTTATGCACGAATTTTGTTGGTTGAACTTCTCAAACACAGTGAAATAAGTGAATGTCATAATCGTGCCATTTAACACACCAGAGCTTGTTTCTTTCTCTGTGATTTAACCTTACTTATGCAGTTATGTTTGGGTTCTTATTATTGAAGATGGAACGAAAAGCTTTTTTCTTGTTACACTTACGGCAACCCATCCCTCCTACATGGAAATGATAAAAGTTTCTGTTCCTGTTTTCACATATTTGTGAAAGTGAAAAAAAAATTCTTTATTATCTTTACATTTACAGTAAAACTACACCTACCGAAGTATTTACACACAAGATCTAAGATAATAGAGAAACTAAATTATTATCTGCACTCCGTACCAGTGGAGCAACTACCTGCGTTCCATGTGTGCCGCGGAACAATCTAAAGGAGCATCTTTTAAGAATGTTTATATTGTAGTCTGCTAAAACCTTAAGTGCACAAATTAAGCAGCAGAGGAAAGAAAAAAACTGCTTTTTTTTTGTATGTATAAAGATTAACAAATGCGTACTCTTAACAAAATACGAAGAATGGTGTACGATTTTCAGTAGGGGAATTTTTGTACACTTAGCTCGCATCAGAAACACGACTTTTAATTCGGCTCATATTCAATAGCACCGAGAATAGCACTGAATTTTGTAAGAAAGGCTATGGGCGCACAGAGGTTGTAATCCTTATCAAGGTTAGCAGTCGAGAACAAAAAAATTGCTAGAACAATAGACATTTCTAATATAGTGTCGACATTTGTGCAAGCTAAAGCCAGATCAAAGGATTTTTAAATGCAGTATATTTTGTGTGGGCCCTATATATGTAATTTTTCTTAGAAGTCGTCTCTAGTTTTCTTTTCCATCTTCTTAGCTTTTGTTTTTGTTTGTTCCATTTTGCTTAATCGTTGTGGTTCATCTATGTACATTTCCCTACTTTTTTTTGTTTTTCCCAGAATGCAATCTTTCTATTCATACAGAGGTGGCGAGGACGAGGAGTGAATGATACGTCGAAAACAAGACTTTTCACTTCCTAGTAAAAGCTTTACTACCTCAAGTACATGCTATGACATGCCACAAGTAATGTCCAAAAATACTATTCATCTAGAGGTAGAGATTTTTCTAAAAAAAATTGGCGGGGGCGATTCAAAATGAAATACTGAATCGTTGAATCTTTATGACATTCAAATGTTCAATAAATTGTTGTGAATGATTTTATCGATGCCATCTAGATTTAGGTGGACAGATTGAAGTTCCGACTGTAAGTCAATTTTTGCTCTTTTTTTTATGCTCTTTCCATTGATGGATAGTAAAGATATGGTTTCCATTTGAAAATTTCTAGTTTTTGACCAAAAACCGATTGCCAACTTTGAACACTTATTCGTATTATTTTCGAATCACATTAGAAAATCAGACCAATAACATTTGATAGCGTAGACTTTTAGCTGTCCATTCGTGAAAAAAACATTTTGCTAAGTTGTCAGACAACAGTGATATGGCTAACTTGCTGAATCTCTGAAACCGGGAAAAAATGTCAAATAACTTGGAAACCATGTCAGTTAGACATAGCATCACATTGACAAGGTCATACTGATTTTTGATGAGGAATTCGAAAATGCGATCAGAAAAGATAGTGCCATTTGAAATAAGAAAGTTCCGACATCGTTCTCATACAACCGGAAAAGCGGCCATCTTGATAATATTTTTTAATGATTCCTTTTGATAGATTATTCAAAAAATGTAATGGGTCCCGAATCGAAATCCCGAATCTGCTCAATGTATTTGTCTAAAGTAGCAACTTTATCAGACAATCCACTAATCAGAGGTTTAGTATGTTAAATAGCATAACTAATACAAGATATCTTCAAAGAAAAGATTTATTACTAATTAAGTTCAGTTTCAACATTTTTTATTCTAACGTTAATACACTATTAGGTTGAAAAGTTTCTTTATGACATCATGTCTGTTGCATCGTCCAACCGTCGCATCGATTCATGTTAACCCTGCTTCTCTAGAATGTATATTGCTGTGTGAAATGGTATCCGGTTACTACAGCGCTTACTGAACGCCTGTCCAGTTACCTGGAAACAAATCAAAATTGAAACTTAGAATTTTATAATCTCTCCTCTCATATTGAGAGTCTTATTGGCCTTGATCAACTTCCGACAATTCCAAAGAATTTATTACACAAATTTTCTGAAATAAATCTTGGGACACATAAAAAATCTGACATGAAAACTATTTGGCTCGTACAAAGGATTCGAATAAACTCACAAATAATTGATTGATTATGACAACAATTTGTTCCGAAACACATGAAACAATTAAACAAAATCCCTGAAAGAAAGAAAAGCTTACAAAGATTTGCGATATAGGCGCACTAATTTCACACAAACGATATCAGCTTCTGAATTTTAACTGAACTTGATCACAAAATCTGGTTGCATGAGTAAATGAAAGCAACCACCCATCACAATTAGACTTGATAACGCCAGCTTCGAATAAACGCATCCCCGCTTACGCCGAAAATAACGCGCACAACGTAAAACACCTTATCTCTTAACAGTATAAAACACGTGAGTTAAATTAAGTTTCGCCTGATAACACTCCTTATCGCAAACGACCAGATGTGTCTAACTTAAAGCATTTTATCTAATGGATAATTTAAACTATGTCTAAAAGACTAAACTCGATGCCAAAGAGATACCGTTTTTCAATTATTGAATCACAATTACAAATCACCCAATTTTACGCGCAGACACTGTTTGTTTTTTCTATTCCTACAATTTCTTAGTAGTCCACACCAGTATTGTTCAAAATCTCTGGTAATGTTCCCCATTGCTTCACAACTTTCCAGTAATCCACTGCTATTCTCTGCAGTTCCAAATAACTCTCTTGTAATGCCCATTGAAAGACAGATTAAGAGGTTGTATAAAATATTAAGTTTGGGATATTGCAGGTGGGTCATATGTTGAAACTAGGCTTCAGTACCCGAAGTTATGTTTTGTCAGGTCCTGATGAGGATAAGGAGGAAGAATCCGCATTGTCCTTAACCGAATTAAAACGGCAACGAGCGGAGAAACTGTTGAAAGAAGAAATGGACTTGAAGCAGGCAATACTAAAAGAGGAACAAGATAAAGAAGAACGGCGCAAACGGTACGAAGAGCGAGGCGTCGACTGGGGTTTGGGTACGTGATATCAAAAGGTGACTAAAATTTTAATTAGATCATTATCTAGGTGATGACGCGGACGAGGAATCGGATATTTCGGAAAATCCTTTCGCCCAAACCAATAACGAAGAGTTGTATATTGACGACCCCAAAAAAGCGTTAAGGGGTTTTATGGAAAGAGAAGGGTATAGTTTAGAATATGACTGTACAGAGCAAGGTTTTGGACAGTTTCTATGTAAAGTAGAATTACCGTTGGATGATGATAATGGGCATCGAATTGTGGCTGAGGTTTTACATAAAGGCAAGAAGAAAGAAGCTGTGGTTCAGTGTGCATTGGAAGCATGTAGAATTTTAGATCGTTATGGTGTTCTTCGTCAGGCCACTCATGGTAAATAGATTTCGTTTGTCATTTTTTCGTGCCTATTAGATTGCATTTCAATTAAGTATCTTCCTACAAGACATTTCAAATATGCAAAGTAATTTGATGTAGGAACTTGCAAGTAGGCCATTTGCCATTACTCAATTTTCTCGCTATGTATTTTATCATAGCTGTAGCAGCTAAACTAAGAAATATCTAATTGCTTGAGTTGTCAAAATGTTCACCAATGTCGTTGGAAATACGCTATTGCATTCATTTGATGCAAGAAGTGAATCTGGTGTTTTTTGGTCAACCACTTATATTTGACAAAGTGCTGTCAAAACCGTTCTTCAGCACTTATTTAATTGCGAAAACGTCGAAACGCATCAACCGATATCCAAGAAGTGACTTTGGTGCATTCTAACAAAAGAGATATCAATATGAGTATGTATGCACCGATTTGGTTTAGTAGACCGTTGAAATCTACGCAAATATACTTCTAGCACATGGTTTTTATTTTTTGGCGTGTTACTATTCTTGTATTGGTAAATATGAGTAATAATTTTGATATATTTTAGAATCACGCAAGCGTAAAGCAAGAAATTGGGAAGAGAACGATTACTACGACAGTGACGATGACACCTTTCTAGATCGCACTGGCGCAGTTGAGAAAAAACGGGAGAAGAGAATGAATGCGAAAATTCCCCAGCAACCGGAAACTTATCAAAGTTTAGTAAGGCTGCTTTGTTGATTGTTTTTGGTTTTCTTTTGAATGATTTTTTTTAGCTTACCAAAGAAAAAAGTATTAATTCACAGATAAAACAAATTGAGAAACAGCTTGCAGCTGCTCGAAGCAAGTCTGCTACATCTGAGGAAGCTGATGAAGATTCTCTTGACGTATTCATGAAAGGATTGAAAGAGACCAAACTCGACAAGCAAATGATAAGCAAATTGAAATCAGATTTGGCAGCGCTCAAAGTTGAACATGTTAATGTAGTAAAACTAGTAAATTTGGTGAAACCCGCCGATCTTCCTCCTTTAGTACCACAATACGAAGAAAGTACAGACCAAGCAGCAACCACTTCTGTAGCGAAACCTAAATTACCAATTTTCGGTAAACGAAAAAAGATTAAAGTTGAGACTCCACAAAAGTCTACTGATAAAGGAAATAGCGGTGATGAAGAAGAAGACGGTGATGACGATACTCAGGGTGTAGATTCTCAATCCCAACCCAATGTAGTGTCTAATGTAGCTGCGGAAACTGTGGGAGATATACAAGAGTGTAAATCGGATGCAGAAGCTCCAGCTTATATTAGGATTTATAGGAGAGTAACAAAATTAGAAGCATCTCTCCGAACTAAGTCCTTTCCCCCTACTGTTAGTAAATATATTTCTCAAATATCTGAAGTTTTATCAGAAATTAAAACAGTTACAGAGCAAAGTGGACTGATCCAAACAGACAAAAATTTGATTATGGCAAAAAATCGTAAAGTGATAAAGCATATCGATGATTTACTAGAATCTTACGATGAAGATCAACTTTCAAAAATCGGCAAAGAAATCAAAAGGCTTTATTTAGAAATCAAGAGTACAGCCAAAATGGAAGACAAAGTATTCTCACAGTTTAGTGTTTTAGAAAAAAAAGTTAATGCCATAAGTAAGGAAATTATTAATCAAATAAACGAATATAAGGAGAAGAGTGCGAAAACTGCGTCATATATAAATGAAGCTACTACAACTGATGAAATGCAAAATTCCGAAGACGCAGAGGATGGTGGAAACGCATTGACAGCTGAAGAACTAGAAAGACGTAAAAGGAAAAATCAGAAACGTAACCAAAATAGGAAAGAAAAAAGTGAAATTGAGAAGCAAAGAGGTTATAAGGAAGATGCTCAGAAAGAGGATTATAATATGTGGGTGCCTCCAGATAATCAAACTGGTGATGGGAGAACTAAATTAAATGAAAAGTATGGTTACTAAATTGTATTTATTTGCTTTTTTTGTTTTTCCATTTAGGTATATTAAGTTTTCTATGTAAAATAAATAATAACCATTTGTTGATTCGTTTGATTTCTTTGTTATTTTCTATGTTCAAGAAACCCATGTATTTTATCAAAAAAGAATGCACAGTTATGACTGGTTTGTTCTCCTGTTTATTTTGCCACCTGTGTTACTGTCAGATCTTTAGTAAAAGGCATCTCAATATTTTCTTTGTTATTTTGTTCAACACGGTTTTGAAGTTTACATCGAGAAATAAATTTTGTCTCGTTCTTGTTTCACATGCCCTCCATGTTCACTCAATCCAACACAGTAGTGCACATTAAACACTAATTGGTAAAAACAGAAATTGTACGAGTTCCTCTCTCATCTGAAGTATAATTTGTAATATTGAGTAAGAAAATAAAATATTGCGAAATCTTGAAACCGGGATATTCATTTAGAAACGCCCGGTAAAATATATCCAAGTTTGGCACATTAGACAACACTGCGTTTTAATGAATGCACCTTTTCCGTAAATTGCCATTAACGTTATTGCACCTGGTGGAAACTTGGTTATATATGGAATTAAAATGAGTATATAAAATACGCATCTGTATATAGGGTGCCCTACTAGAAGTAGAAATGGGGATTCACATTTATTGTTTATTCCTATGTACTTTTAAAAGAAAATCGTTTGGAAGAGCTCCTTTCTACATACTTCACAAAAAAGAAATCTCTTATGCTCTTTAAACTGGTACAGGCACTATACCAATTGACAATATCAAGTTGAATACATTGCATATGAATGAAAATAAAAATATGGAAGCCAAAGCAACAATATTCAGACGGCCAGATTTTTATTTGTTTTAGGAAGTTATTTTGGTTCCATAAAATTAGGCCCCTTTCAGAAGAGGACTCTGTCTTTTAAAAGTAAACATAAGGAAAAACAATACACCTATAAATCCCTATGTCGCCTATGTATACTTAAATATCACTGTGTATTGACGTCATAATAAAATTAGTTTTCCAAAATTTACTGCATTTTAAGTGGGGTAAGACCAAATTGCCCACCAAAAACTTGGCGAAAGCATATGTCTACAGTCTACCTTAAATCTTTTAGGAATAATAAATATTTAAATAAGTGCACGTTTTTCCGTCTCTAAGCTTTTCCGTGATATCATTGATAACCTTTAAATTATTATTATTTAGAAACTGTTTGGATATATGACGTCACGAAGTGAGTTTTTTTGTGGGGAATTAGACAGTCTTAATTGCTGGGTAAACTCGCGTGGTTGCCCCTCTACAACCCACAGAAAAATACCAAATGCTGAAATCACACAGAACTTCAGGGGTACTGCTTTTAAAAGTAAATAAGGCCGTCAACCCCACTGACAATGGGCCGTATGAATAAAAGTAAGCAAATGCTTATACTTGCAAAATTCAAAGTAAATACTCGTAAGTGCTCCTTCGCACTGGGCGACTTAGCAGCGCTTCTAAGCAGAAGGACAGGACGCAGTGCACCGCTGCTAAACCATGCTAAACAGACCAGTATGAAGGGGCAGTTACGAGTATTTAATTTGAATTTTGCAAGTATAAGCATTTGCTTACTTTTATTCATACGGGCCATTGACTTCAATGGACCACAGTAATTAGATTAAAAAATTATAAATTTAATTGCATTTGTTTTCACAAACACTACAATTTTTTGTGTTACAAATAAACACTTGACTTTCAAATTGTAAGACTCAAAACTTACTGGGTTTGCTTAGGCTTAGACCATAGACTAATTCTATGCTTAGACGCTGGCTAATTAATTGTTGCGCAGAACTGGATATGCGGTGTAACACAAACACTAAGCATCTTTAAGCTTTTCATCTCTCAATTCTTCGAAGCACTTCTTTGTAAAAGAAGGGTGTTAGCGTCTACCATCTTCACTTTTCCTAAGATACACACTATTTTCGTCGTACTTTATAAAACACTTGTGATGTACCCAAGTCGACAGCTCCCACGCTAACGAAAGCGTGAAAAACACGAGCTCGGAACACCGGCGTAGTAACACAAACCTCGCACTCGACAATGGCCGGAACCCCTACGTTGTGGAAAGCCAGGTTGCACTCACTCGTACCCATACTAATTATCGGAAAGGTGGAATGCAAATAATACACTTAATTGAATTTGAAACACAAATAAAGTTTATTAAAGAACTGATCAAAAGTGTAAAAATGAATCAAAAGGTCGAAAGACATCCTCCAAATTTAGACAAAATACATTTAAAGCCAAAAAGTGCCAGGTTCCCCTAGAACTCGTCGGACAAAAGAACCGTGCTAAAGAAAATTCCGACTCACTGTTCACAGAGGTGAAATCTAGAGGGAAAATCTGGAGAATGAGAGGTAACATTGGATAACGCTAAACACATTTTACAACACAGCTACAATAGTTATACAAAGAATAATAATCCGAGTAAGTAACTCTTGAATTGGACAGGTTGAAATCTGACGTTAATACAATACAAACTTGATAAGTTAAAGGATGGCCATCACAAGTAGATTTAAAAAGCACCTTCAATCTTTTCTCATGTGCGAAAGAATACATTCCGAAGTCTCTTACATAAAGTGCACAAAATAAACATCATTAATTAGCCAGACCTCCTCCAATCTAGCAGGTATCTAAGATCCTGGATACGGTAACCTTAGACTAAAGTTGTCGTTTGAAATACATGCCGCTAAGTATCTTTATCACTCCGGCATCTACCTCTGCAAGGGCGAAACGGTTAATTACACTCAAAAAAGGCTGATTCGTACACAAAGAATTGAAGTCGCTAATCAATCCAAATGGGTTCAAAACAAACAAATGAAAATTGATAACTGGCCAATCTTCAACAAATCAAAACAGGAACCACTTTTACATTGAAAGCAAATTACACAAATTCAAGAATCACTTTACCCTGCATTACAAATAGCTGAAGGCAACATAGGTAATCTACAATATAAATCAATTACAACTAAGTACATTACCTTTCTGTTCTACGGAGCACCACCCTAACCGATCAACCAAAGCAAAGTGAACTCAAAGACAAAAAACAAAAATGAACCTGTGGGAGCTCTAAAAAGCTAACTCGGCAAAAACTAAATCTATCCACCATTTCCTCCCTATACAGACTACTATTGTTATAATTGCTGACATTGAAGACTGAATACATTGTTGAATAATAACCCTATTGTTTTTCATGGGAATGCTATTGAATTGTGGCTCGGTATCTGGCAACGGTAGCTTGGGCTGCGTCTCAATATACGGTAACGGAACTTCTTGTTTGAAATTTGAAAGTAGACATCTCACACTGTCTCATCAAATAAGAAAATTATGCCGAACAATACTAGTTTCTACGAAAGCGTCTATTAGGGTCACAAAATTATAATAAAATTATTTTTTCCAATATATTGGAAAAAAATTGAATATATTGTGAAAACTTAAAACTATTGCAAAAACATTTAATATATTGGAAAAGGACATATTATTGTCACAAACTCAACACTTGTGTCGGATATTGCAGAGTGGGTTACGAGTTTAATGTGCAGTGGCGTTTGTGGAAAATCGAAATGAATAACGTAGATTTATTTGATGCACCCAGCAACGCTACCGATGATTTAGAAAAAAGGGGGTCCGTTAACTTGGCCCCCTACTGAGAGATTTGATAGTTGTATTATTTTAAAATGAATGCCCTCATATGCGCCATCGATAATAACTATTGCGCCATTATCGTTTTTTTAGAAACCCGAAAAAGCATTTTGGAGGGGCCGAGTGAACGTACGGAACCCCCATAACGCATTTTGCTACCTGTATTTGTGCCACTCGATACATCTGGTTATGCGCTCAATTGCGCCACTTGAATTAAAGCTAGCGCCATTACGGTTAAGGCATAAACAATTTTTAAAAAGTGGCGTGGGGCTAACTTAACGTTTTCAAAAGTTACGTTTTTTAACATGTTTTTTCTACTACATCGTACCTTTCATCATTGTTATACAATGCTTTCATCATACGCTAAAATGCGCCGTGAACAAAAATCTTTGCGCCATTATAGTGTTTTAGAAACACTATACAGAGTGGCCCATCGAGAAGTATACATAGGGCTTTTAGGGTATTAAATTTAGAAATTTCGAGAAATCCTCGGATACGTCAATTTTGTATTCGAGGGGGACAACTTTTGGAATACAAACCACGATCCCAAGTCTTCACCCCTCTACGTAGGGAGCTTAACTCCTAAAATTTTAATTGGAATCCTATCGCAAATGGCACATTATTTGAAAGCCAATTTAATCGTGATTACTAATCTGCTTTGCTTTTTAAATTCTATTATGCTATTATGCTTCTTTTATGCTGTTTGCATTTCTTGACCAGTGGCGTACCTCCATTGTACCAATTGTATACTGTATATTAATCATATTGTAATGAAAGGAACAGAAACGATATGCATAATTTATAACATATCAGTTCATTTGTCGTTTCGTATAATTTCTGCTTGTTATTTACGATCATCGTTTATCATTCCTCTCTAGGGAATGCACGATGTTACGCCACTGAAATTGTTTCTTGTTGTTTGTTTTGTTCCGGGAAATTCAAATGATCCTCACTGCACATAATAATTTAAAAATACCATGGTGTCCAGTCAATTTAGTGAAATTTTACTTTTCAGTAATCGTCCTTTTACTCTTTGTCAACTGTAAAGGTAAGAACCATACCTAAACCAAACTATTGAACTAATGATTAGAACTATAACGAAGTCATAAATTTATAACAATAGTTGGTCACACCATTGTATAATGTATACCATGGTCACACCTACGGGTCGCACTCAACTATAGAACCGAAAGTGCTTTATAACGTAGCGATTCGCTGCGTGTTGTACGGTAATGTACTATAGGTTGCATAACTACGTGCTGGATCAAGTTCTATGAACCTGCTGTTTATTGCCGCCTTTTATGTTATCGCGCTACGAACTGGTCCGGTACTTATAATAAAATTGTGGTGTATTAGGTAGTTATTTAAAATTTCATTTTGCATAGAGAAACAATTTTTTCTGTATCATTCATAAAATTTTATTTCCCAAAAAGGAAATGAGTAATTAAGTCAAATAATCCACTTTGTGGTATTTTTGATTTTTACCATTTTTTGTTATTTTAGACTACCTACCAAACCAATTATGTAAATGTTAAGTACTTAATATTATTTTATGGGTATTGAAACCACAAAGTATCCGCTCTGGGATTCGTGTTGTAACCACAACTTACTTCAATTCAATTTTTAGCTTCCTAGCATGTGCTAGGTAGCTATTGCGATAGCCGTTTTTTGAACATTTCAAAATGTCATCAAATGTCGACGTTTTAGACCATTTTAAGCAACTTTTAAAGAATAAAATTTTTTTCCGTCGTACGTACGTACGTACGTACGTACGTACGTTTGTTGGCAATTTTCTGAGAAAACGGCTCGACGGATTTTGTTGAAATTTTGTATATATGTTTTAGGCATACCGAACAGAAAAATAACGGGCCGGATTTTCTTATTTATGGAGCAATTTTAACGAAAATTGGATGGTAGGTCCCTCTAATAAAAGCAAACAAAATGCATGCGCAAAAATCGTGTTGCGCATGCGTAGAAATGCAACTTTCTTATTTATGGAACTAGGTACAATGCGAAATTTTATCAAATGTTGACGTTTTAGATCATTTTAAGCAACTTTTAAAGAATAAATTTTTCCCGTCTGTAAGTGCGTACATATGTTGGCAATTTTTGGTTTCAGCTTGGAAGCTATTCTGTCAAGAATTTGACACCTGGTTTTACTTTATGCTACATTTTGCTCCTAGTGTGCTGTAATGCGCCGAAGGAAATAAAAATTGTGCTGTGCCTAGATTTCCGCAATTTCAATTATCCGCTACCTGGTTACAACTTCGTGGTCTAACAACAACATTAACCAGATTGATTAAACGAAGTATTGTGTTAGGGGTGTGCTGCGTTGTGCTGATAAGTCCATTTTCCCATAAATCGAATTTTTCATCCCAGGGTTAGTAACATGAATGGTTTTCTAAACCCATCAACAAATGTTTGGTACAGCGCGGAAGACATTTCAAACATTTATTGAAGTAAGTGATATTTTTCTTTTAAGTATTTCTATTTACTTATACCATAGAGGAAATACTTCCTCTAATGCTTATACCTACCTTTTATTTTGGTGTTTGTGGTTTTTGAGTTTTTGTTTTAAATGTACCTAAATGTTTTATAATTTTAATTGGTGTTTATCATTTTTAGGCTTTGAGAATCGAAAAACACTGTGAATTATTAGCAATTGTTGAATTACAACAAACATTAGGTACATACCGATAATTTATTTCGTTAATAGAAAAGTAAGCAAATCCTACATTTAAATGCAATAAAAAAACTTGTAGTTTCATTTAAAAAAATCACCTTTGTTGAAATTTTGAAAATTGACGGGAGTAATATTTCTTTTAACACAAAAAGTGTAACATTTGACCGTTCGGCGTATCTTAATATATTTCATGATTAGTAAAACTACAGATTCACGGCCTTTGAAGTTTTACGATAACTGCGATAACTGGACAATGGACATATCTATTTTTTGAATAAATACAAGTCACACTACAATTGACCAAGGAATCGAAATATGTACTAAACTAATATAGGTACGGGGGTTCCACTAAAAAAATGCAGCTTTGATATAAATCACCCTACAGTCTACACCCAACAATTGCAATTTCAGTGAAAATATTTTTAGGTTGTAGCCTTTAAGAGTCCTGGCAATGAATTTTAAATATTTGCGTTAGTAACCCACTATCTTCTGCACACTCTTAAGTAACAAAAAGTTTTGGAACAATTAGCACCACAACATTCACAGCAACACAATGTAAGAATTTTTCGAAAGAAGTTCCCCTTATGTGATGGTTTTGTCCACCGTCTGTTCACCTGTCCGTCTGTCCATCCGTCTGGTCCTCGAGAACGAAAGAGACCGCGATGTCAGACTTTCGCCAATCGATTTCTACGAGTTCAAGTATCAGTGCTATTGAATATGAGCCGGATTAGAAGCCACGTTTCCGAACGCGAGCTGAGATCAAAAAATTCCCCTACTGAAAATCGTATGCACTTTTTCGTATTTTGCTTGAAAATGTTGATATACTTACTCGTACAGCGTACAAGCGGTTATAGCTCTAGGGCGAACATTTCAATTTATGGAAAAACGGGCCAAGAGCACACCACACCACACAGCGCAATCCGTTTGGTTAATTACGAAGTTGTAACCCGGTAACGGAAAATTGAAATTGCAGGAAACTGGGCACAGCACAATTTTTATTTCCTTCGTTACATTATAGTACGCTAGGAGCACAATATAGTACAAAGTAGAAAATTTGAATCGAAGTATGTTATGTGGTTACAACTTCGGAGACACGGAATACTTAATGAAGATTAACCGCGGGTTTAGTCACCACGCGGAAGATTTGGTTCCAAGAAAACTTCCCGGAGAATATTCGCCCTTGCAAAATTGACCGGCCAGGAAGTTGGAAGTTCATCGCATATATCATCTTAAAAATCCGAAAAGTATCATCACCACCATCGATGCTCAGCCAGCTCTCGTAAAGACCTCTAAATTTTGTACGAATTAATTGCACGGGTGGTCATCCCTTGTGTTTACACATATGGTTTGCTTATTAAAAAGAGGACAAGATCTAAGAATAAATGAGGCGTGTAGACCGAGCGCCGCAGGCACAGCTTACGTAGTCGACAGATTTATTGTTCCAAAACCCACTTGCGACTAGACCACGAAATATCGATTCCCACAAAGAAAGGATTATTTATGGGTCCACATTATCTTTGGTCAATATGAATTTGGGGAGTCTATCGTTTTTGATAGGGCCTACACTTACTGTGAACAATTTTACGATAACGCTCGTGTCGCTTTGACCAGTGCATGATGATGCGCAGATGCTTCACCCGTATCTGCAGAGCTTCCAATAACCGTTTATTTTCGATGTGGGGGCGCAATTTATTAAATTATCGAAAATTTGGTCAAATAATTTTAAAAATCACATACCTTAATTTAACTTTTTGCGTTTTTCCTAAATCCTTCATCCTTGCATGTTATTTAATGTTTGGTACTGAAACACTTTATTGATATGAACGTTTAATTTAAAAAATATTTATAAATCAACATAAGATTCGTCTAAAGTTCGAATGCAAAACAATAACAATAGGTAGGTACCTACTGATCATTTTAAAAGAAAATGTGGATTTCATAAAAATAACAAATAATAAACCCCTAAAGTGGATCAAAAAAGCGGGAGAGCATCTCGCAGTAACGCTACGGATCATTGGATTTGACCCATTTTCATTAGGATTGTTACATATGGTCATAGAGAGAGGTGTAGCCCTAGGGCCAGTGGATTTGACCAATTTTCAATAGGCTTGTTGCATGTAGCATTATAGGACAACAGAACTGTGCAAAATTTGGCAGTGATCGTGTTCACGGACAGACAGACAGACGGACACCATCGACTCCTCTATAAAGCTTGCATCGTTTCGTTTTGCTCTACCGCTCAATAAACCCCTAAAGCGGATATAAAAAAGCGGCAGAGCAACTTGGTGTAACCCTACGTGGTAATTGGGTTTGACCCATTTTAAATGGGCTTGTTACATGTGGCATACTGTAAGAATATGTAAAAAATTGGGCGATAGAGGGAATCAAGACGAGCGCTGTTCCGTTTGGGAGCTACCCCCAAAGAAGTGATGAACTGGAATTCTTCTTTAATTTTTTTCTCAAAAACCATAAAAGTTACAAAGATGGGTGGCACGTTTTTGAATAGGTTCTCAGGTATGCCTTACCCAAGTTTGAAAAAAAAATTTCAAAATTCCTACCGCGAAAGGGCGCACTCGAGCGAAAAAATTCTGATTTCGACAAAATAACTTAGTATCTGGGGGTTTTTGACCATAAAAATCACGAATCTGGATTTAGTTTTTGAAAATTCGAAAAAAAAAGTTTCACTGCAATAGGTTCATTTAGCATTTTTTTTTAATTACATTTTCTTAAAGATTACATAATTTTATTACGATTACCAAAAAATACAAATTTTCTGAAATCATTTAGGTCCTCAAAATACTTATGAAACATTGCCGGCCGCGTGATAGCTCAGATAGCCCGCGCGACGTCAGAGGCTCCGAACGCTAATGCATCATTTTCATATAAAAAAGTGTACGCTGCGGAGTGTTTCTAGAATATTTTTCTATTTCGGTGTCACAATGAGAATTTTGTGCAACTGTTTTCGGCAAAAACAGTGTTTCAATGAGTTCCATTGTAACATTGTTTTTGGTAACTTTTCATCTCTAAGTTGGCAGTTCGCCAAGACGTCAACGTCAAATCATCAGATGTGAAATCAAATTACGTAAAATTTATGTGTTTTCCTTGATTTTTGGTACACGAAGAACTTAATACACTCCAAATCAGCAGTTTACACATCCACCATAAATAAATTTATCTACGAATATAAAATTACACATTCACGGAATTTAAAGTTTCCAAATGTCAGTGTTGTGTTTATCTACGCTGCCAACTTAAAATTTGTCAACGTAAATGGTGTTGCCAACTTAAGACATATTAATTCTTAAGTTTCCTGTAGTTTTTCATAATTACTTTTTAATTAAATTAAAGCCCCGAAATAGAAAAAATAGTATGAAAAACACGTGTTACAATGCTTTATTGTAATACTCCTATCTTGTGGACACTCGTGGTTCCGCTTCGCTACGCCACTCGTGCCACAAGATAGTCGTATTACAATAGGTCGCATTGTAACACTTGTCTTTCAATATACTATTTTGACATCAATTATGAGTATGGAAGAATTTAATATTGACAATGATAATGTCGAGGAAAGGAGTTTAAAGAAATTTTTTGTAAACACGTTTTGTATTTGTCTTATGCGGCTATCGATTTCGACCTAACCGGTCATCTTCAGGCCGAGCGTCATTGATGAAGTGAAATGAATACAACATTTTTTTTAACGATGTTATGTAGTAGTGGTCAGAAATGAAAAATTAATGTACGAAAGAGTGAGGTTGTGTATGATGATGTTGAACTGTTGAAGTCAAAAAGAAGAATCGAACGTTTTTTAAATATTGTATTGCGCCAAAATGGTTAAGCACATCGATAAAACCTCCAGATAAACTTGTACTTAAAAGAGGAGGAGGGTGGAATTTTTAACAACGGAAGTAGCTAATTAAATAGGGAGTAGCTCATTATTTAGATGCGACAAATCTACTGTAAGCTCACCTTTCATTAGAAACATCCTGCTGTAATCTACGCGTACAGTTATATAACAATGCCGGATCCAAAAGCTTGGCAAATATTTAGTTGTGTATATATTTCCTAATCCATATATTACTTATATTCTACCAAGTTTTAAATAGTGGTGGACCTCGATCTCCGATATTGAGCTACCCAGAACCGTGTTCCTGAACGTAGGCAACCAATCATACACAGGTTGTCTTGACGACCAGGAGGTTGTGTAGAAGAGAGATTTTAGAGGTCCTTAGGTTACGAAGAGGCTCTAAGGGTAGTCTGGAACCGCTAGGACCGTTTACATACGTCAACAGAATTGTTAACATTAAAACTAAAAATTGGAACCCTAATAGAAATCAAAGGTAACCCCTCTCTTTGATCTCCTAAAATATACATACCTCTTAAATAAGAGGCAACAATTATATTGTCGATGGAAAATTATCGCATAACAGATGACAGCCAAACCAAACCTAAAGAAAAGGTATCGTACACTTCAATTATGGAAAATGTAACTAATGTCTCAGCCGTTTGTACAAAGACAGTGCACTTTGTTACGTCTCACCAAAGAAAGAGGAAAATGAAAATGGACAATCTACAACCACTGCGCGGTATAATTACGTTGTTAAATTTCAACAATAGATGGAGCTATCTATTAAAAAGTTACGAGGATCTTTCAAGTAAATATCGCGTGAACACTATAATGCTTGTAATGAAGAAAATAAACCGTTATAACTTTATACTTATCACTTTGTGAGTCAAAACAAGATCGTATACAATCGTATAGGATTGCCACTCGCATTTATCTAGCTCCGATGGTGGTGAGCTAGGTATGGTCTTGATTATGGTAATATTATGGTACACACATAAAGAGAATAGATTGTCTGCTTGCTGTTTATTCGGCACCGACTATGAGCGCTTGTAACCGGGGAAACATGCACAGACGGCAGCCAGATCAAATACCAAAATACAAAAATATGCCAAGGAATTAAAGGAAATTAATGCACTTCTGCAGTGACTTTCGAGCGAATGTGCAATAATATTTAATACATTCAACACCAGTCACTCGTTTGGCAATAAGTTTTAAAAATTATTAGGAAAACCAACTAACACTCTGTTAAAAAATTCTGCCGGAGCGAATTAATCTAGGCGCGAATTTTCTGGCAGCGAATTGTCCTGGGAGCGAATTATCCGAGCACAAATTGTCCGGAAGCGAATAATTCGGGCCCAAATTGTTCGCACACATATGCAATATAACGACACCCTACAGTGTGAAAAATTTGCATTTTTCGTTATTTTGGATTTAACGCATCGGGCATTAAATAAAAGGCAAAAGTTGGCATCATTCGTTTTCGATTTTATGTGTATAAAGTATAATCATTGAATAATTATTATTCAATGGTATAATATAGAAGTATTTGCCTTTATATGTGAATATTAACATGCTTGTAGCAATTACGCTCAATAACCCATAGTATATACTTACATGAAATTTAATTACCTGCACACTTGGTTGAGCAACTCTTACACGTGTAGTAATGTAGTTATTAGATAAAAGTGTTTGATTGACAACGAAAAGTAATGGCACCGTCTTTCTAAATCTTGGACTACCTCTATAAGACTCTCAGGTGTTGGTAGGTAACATTTTTTGTCGATAGAGATACATTACATAGGTAAATATTAAAAAAATTGTCATTATCAGAATAGTTAACGATGGTCAACTTTTGAAATGTAAAATCACATTAAAATCTGTTAGCAGAATTTTTTAAAATTTGTGAATCCCGTCCCCTCAAAATCGCTGCACGATGATTGGTCGGTTTAAAATTAAATGCTCATTAGTCTTGTTCAATGTATTAAGCGAAGGTGTGGGCAGTGAAGGGTGAATTAAGTGGCGCTTGCCTATCGGAGCATGCTGGTACAGACTGTGCAGAGTCAGTTTGTATTTGTGGTAACAATCTTGTGCGATAAGTAGTGGCTCGTAAAGCTCATAAGGACGCGGACGGCGAGTGAGAGTGAGTGGCGCAGGATGATGTGAAGCCGCAGACATGTGCGCCTCCTGTTTTTCCTTGCTACTTATACTCGTAAGTACTACACCAGCTCATTATTATCAAAGACAAAGAACAACCCCCTAGCGTTAGCTTTCATTTTTACTCGGTAATGCAACTATTTTACCCATTCCTTTTGTTCTTTCAGTTTTCTTTACATATCTGCACTGCTAGAAAGAACAACTGTGGTAAGAAAAGGAAAGGAGGTATAGAAAAACTCGCGAGACCTTCGTTTTAATTATCTTTTAAAGATTAACTTTACCACAAAATTGGCATAAAATATTTGTTCACAAATTGGGAACATCAAATTAAATTCTTCAAGAATGTGTGTCAAACTTTCCTATCTTCACTTAATTGCTTTATCTTTTTAATCGTGATAGGTTTATTATTAAATACCTACCTACAATGAGATATAATGCAATCAATATTCATATTTAAAGAGCAAGTAACTGTGAAATGACGTTTATTCTTAAGCCATTCATTTGTGAAGCCGGTGAACAAATAAAGTGTTTAATTTTGTACTTCAACCATGATCCGTTAGTACTGTTTTGTTGCTTCACTTAGCGAAAACAGTACCACAAAGGGATGTGTCATTTATTACACCAGCTTCGACGGTAAAAATCATTTATTACGCAATATCGTTTTGAGATAATTGTTCCAAAACATAAACCTTGAATAAGAGGCATAAGCACTAAATCTTTATTAATGATTCATTAACACGTAATTGAATAACTATAAACTTTAATTGGTATAAAAGCACCCAATTATTTAACTGCATTGTCAACTGGAAATGAAACGAAAGGAAATTCGGGGCTCATTAGGCGGCTTAGATCATTTGGATGTGTCAAGGGCAATGATTTCTTGCAGTGTCTGCACCGCGTTGCATCAGGTACCAAAAGATCATCGCTGTTAATTAATAACAAAACTTTGTTACAAGTAGGATGACAAGTAACCTTCATCGATTGTGGATTTGTATAAGAATTTTTTGAGATATGTTTTTATAAACGCTTGCAACATTATCTAAAGAATACCCAAATGTCAGACTGAAGGTATTCTTAGAAGTAAGATCGAGATTAGAGTAACTGTTGGAATGTTTTCCCAAGCAAGGTTGATCATGATGATGATGCATGCATACAGTTATTCACGTGTTCCTTGTTGATCGGTTTTGCATTTTGGTATAATTTAAATATCAAGTTAAATGTTCTTCCTTTTAGTACTACGAAACAAAAAGTTCTCAAATATGACCACAATCAATTATATTTGCTGTTTTTTACTCTTTACGAATAACGAATATCCGTCACCGACCATAATTTTATTGCCTACACCTGCAGTGTGATATGCGAAGAATGGAAGTAAATAAATGTCTTACTTAACAAAGAGTGGATCTGCTAGAATGTTACTACTATTAATCTACTAATCTCTGATACGGGTAGGAAGTGACCCAAAACAAACTTTACTGTGACTGTGCTGTACTACAGAAAACTTCAATTAGGTAAACCTATCTAAGTATGTTAAGTACTGTGGCGCGTGTTATTAGGGTAATGTAATAATTAATAAAAATACTCACCTTCTTAGCCTTTCAATAAGCTCCCTTCGAGACTTGTTCCAATCTCCGCGACAATGACAGATATTCTGCAAGAGCATATGCAAGCATGGCCCGTATGAATAAAAGTAAGCAAATGCTTAATACCTACTTGCAAAATTCAAAGTAAATACTCGTAAATACTCTTTCGCACTGGGCGACTTAGCAGCGCTGCTAAGCAGAAGGACACGACGCAGTGCAGCGCTGCTAAACAAACCAGTATAAAAGGGCACTTACGAGTATTTACTTTGAATTTTGCAAGTTACTTTTATTCATACGGGCCAATGGGTGCGATTTTGAATATCCTCTTTCCTGGCGACGTTCCGACAGAAGACGAACCTCTCTATGCGAAAATGCGTTCCCAACAATTCAGCTTGGAATCCAGACAAGACTGGGGGGTGAAGAATCCCCATAAACAAAGCTTCTGCACTGGACGAAATTCACGGAAACGTACTAAGAACGTTGCTGGAATTCCTTTCCGGAATTCTCGTCGAACTATTCAATTCCTGTATAAGACTCAGCAACTTTCCTGTCAGTAGGAAATCTGGCAAACTTATAACTATTCTAAAACCCGGTAAGAAGGATCTGATCAACCCCAACTCGTACAGACCGATCACTATTACCCGAAATTGGAAAGCTATTTAAGAGACTTCTTCTCCAAAGACTGTATGACGAAATCCCAACTGAACCACTTTTTTATCTCAACCAATAAGGCTTTATCAACGGACGAAGGTCGACCGACTGTGCAACGACTAGTAAAGAAAGTCAGGACGAATGGTCATAGTTGTTGACGATTTTCGTCGATATTACCGGAGCTTTCAACAACGTATGGTTGCCTTCTATATTCTGCGAATCTATGTACAGTTAAGTGCATAACATTTATTTTCAACTGAAAGTTTCAAGACGAATTCATATACCTAATCGAGGGGTACAGAAGATTTATACAGTCGTACGTGAGATACTTATTGCGAAAGTTGAAATTAATTGCCGCATTACAGGGGAAAACTGTGCCGCCAATTCGACGAAATTACCGTCGTATGTGCTTTTAAACTCTTTGTGAGTTGCCATTTTGAGTAAAACTAATATAGACTGGCGTATTTATGCAAAAAGGAACTTCGTTGTGTAGAAGAATCGACAGGTTGGCTGATTTATTTTCAACCATGAATAGAGTGCTAATGTATTGTGTTCTTAATACGCGAGCGAACATTTTTGTTTTGGTGATCGCGCGTAAATGATTTTATCATCGCGAAAACGATAAAAAAAACTTTGATAATTAGTAATGATCTGAAAATCACTGGCCAAATGTACTCCAAATACAGTATTAATCGAGGTATTAACCCTTGCCCCAACAAAATTGCGACAGGGGTCAAGATTTCGTATATTTTACACAAGGGTAGCAACAGCCAACAATAGTTATTTACATAAAAGTCAGGAAAGTGACACATTACTGGCGAGGAAATATTGAAGTACAAGGCCTCTTTGGGTGCGAGTACTTTAATTTCCGAGGCAAGTAATGTCATTTTACTGACGCATTTTGTATTAAACTTTACCCGAAATCGTATTTTAACATAAAATTTTGATTTTCATATAGAACTTTTGATTAATGCCAATCTGTCATTGATGACAGGAGTCATTATAGACATTTAGCAATGTGACAGGTGCGGCAGGAAAAGTGACAAGTCCGGCTGGTAAAGTGACAGGTGCGGCCGATAAATTGACAGGCGACAGGAAAAGTAGACTGATCTGTTTCCGTCATGGAAACTAACATTTCCCTGACATAAAGTAGGCATGAAAATGAAGGTTTCATGACGATTTTGGGTAAAAATTTTAAAAGTCCAACGTAAATTCAATTTATGGTTGTTAATATTCACTATCAGGTGTCATTTATCAACATATATTTTGATCGCGGAGGAGGAGGAGTTGTGGAATTTTGTCCTGCGGGAGATTTCGAGATGCTTTGATTCTAAGGGATTTTCTTGGACTGCAATGTGAATTGTGGGCTGTGGCGCCATTTTACATAGTTTGGGGATTTCAAACAAAAATCTGAAATGGGAATCTGGAACTGTGCACGTGTTAATCGCCTGTTCGTTGAGATTTGGAGCATATAAACATTCACAAATTACCTATATAAATGTTCTTTTTGCAATTTGAGAAACTTTTTTATTTATAAAAAGGTGTTGTTTCATGGATGGTTTCATCTTTTTGAAGCGAATTTTTTGTTATCAGCAACTTGGTTTATGAATTCCAAGTATTTACAAGGTATGGTTACAATGGTGCTGTTCGTAATAAAGTCACTAGATATAGAAAGTACCGCAATCATCCGCCATTTTTGGGCAAATTTGCTGCCAACTTAAAAAAATTGACAAATAAAATCTGAATAGCTGTAATTTTTTATAACCTAACTTCAAAGTACTGTCATGTTTTATAAAAATATATACAGATATCTCCAAACAGGTGGAACAATCCCTAACATTAAAGTTACTAGAATCTGTTAACTTCCGCCATTTTTGGGCAAAACTCATGCGTTCTCTCTCTTAGCACACGAGCCCAATGGATTGCGGTACTTTCTGTATTTAGTGACTTTAGTTCGTAATAAAGTCACTAAATATAGAAAGTACCGCAATCCATTGGGTTCGTGTGTTAGAGAGAGAACGCATGATTTTTGCCCAAAAATGGCGGAAGTTACCGGATTCTAGTAACTTTAATGTTAGGGTTTGTTCCACCTGTTTGGAGATATCTGTATATATTTTTATAAAACATGACAGTACTATGAAGTTAGGTTATAAAAAATTACAGCTATTAAGATTTTATTTGTCAATTTTTTTAAGTTGGCAGCAAATTTGCCCAAAAATGGCGGATGATTGCGGTACTTTCTATATCTAGTGACTTTAGTTCGTAAGTAGCTTTCGCGACATCTTTTATTATCCCTGCGCACTATCGTATTGGCACTTGCTGTTAAAGTATAACTTTATCTACTTTTACGAAACTTAGTTAAAGAACGCGAAAGTGTCATATACAGAATATACTACAAAAAGAGTCGCTGCTGTCGCAAATACAGACCACTGGTATTCAAATACCTGCAACAGGTAAAGGTTAAGGTTACGTCTTTCACTTTTCTGTCGCCTTTGACTACAATGGCATCGAAGGTGACCCACGTTAAACCTTTCAATAAAAAAGCGGTAATCTAAGGGTCGACAGAGTTGAGAACCTTCATTATGGGTCAGTTAGGACTATGAAGAGAAAATTATTCCTATAGCATGAACATCATCACTTTCAAAAAATCAAAACCACAATCTTGCAAATGTCACCATTCCAAGTTGCAATCCACTACGTCACGGGCTGCGGTAAGATGTGGTTTGGGTTTGTTCTTGGGAAAGATTCGTCTTCTAAAATTAGTCGTCGTGCCCAGAAAATGTTATAAGGCACCATTAAGTGATCGTCTTCACAGAAAGAA